GAAAAAGAAAGGATAAAACGTTTCCGCAAAAAGAGACCAAACTTCTTTAGAACACTCAGAATAGGCTTACGCTCCCAAATTCTCATAACTTCCTGGTAGACATATCAAAGATGCGTTCAAATATCATCAAACCTTACAAATTTAATATGGCAGATAGCTATAAAGGGACTTTTCACTTGATAACCACTGTCAGCCGACGTTAAATTTGGGCTTCTTATAGACTTCACTTAATCTTATCCTAGATAAGAAAATGAAGGAGCTCAGCAGTTCATTCGTAAAGTTGTCTAGCTGTTGCCTCTCTCTTTATATGTATGTGTAAATCCATATGAGCAATGAAAATAGAATTGATACAGTTGTGTAATTTATCCTTTGCCTAAACACCAATGATCGGTTGAATGTAAAATGGTAAACAAGCAGTCATAAATAAATTTACATTGATGAATAGTCGTTGGTAGAGAAATTTGCTTACCATTTCCTCTTTGAGTCAAAGCTCCACTAGCGAGTGTTTTTATTTTTAAACTGTGACTGGCTTCCCCTGATCACACACTTTATCCATGTATCTCTTAAGAAATCAGAGCATATTCTTTCAGCTCTGTCTATGAAGTATCTAACATCATTACAATTATATCGATCTATCCACGCATAGTTAGACACAGTGGTTCTCGAAATGATGTCAGCTCATGATGAAGTCTTCCATCCAATCAAAAAATGAAATAGGCTGGTGGATAAGGTGGCAGTCTTAAAATCTATTGTAAGTTGGTGGAGGCATAGACTGATAAATGAAGCCTTATTCATGGAATCTACCGAGAATACGTGCAATAGAAACAATTTATTATAGTTGCTGGGCATTTAAAGAATTCTACTACCCTAGTGATAAATGAGAATGAGGAACGAAGACTATAAATATCCAGTTTCGAAATTGTTTAGTTATGGCTGATATGATTATCAAGAATAAATTGTGTTCAAAATGTGTTCATCCATTAAATAATACGGTTTCATTTTGAGATATAGCCAGTAAATAAATAAATAAAGGCCGGTCAGAATTCATCGGCCACTGGACTGCGTCTCAGTAGCTCAATCGTCGACAGACTCGTTTATAAGCCTGCACGCTATGGGTTGGATCCCAGACGAGTAGTGCTGAAGATACTTCCTGGTTTCCAATAGTTCCCTGCCCGATACCAGTTAGTGATACAACTTGAAACTGATTAAATCCATGCAAATCACTACTTGGAAAGCCCGTGGTTTGACCAAGGGATGTGCCTTATCAACTATTCCTCATTTGTAGGTATCTATACTCCGATTCTTCCCATGAATACACACATTCGATAGAAAAATGACCTCAGATAGTTTTACAAGAAGAATTTATGCCTAGAAACCAAGAGAGGGAAGCACAATCAAAAGGATTCTCCTTTCCAAATATATGACACCAATAAACATTCGCTCCCCAGCTTTGTTTGATTAGCCAAATAATATTTTACCATAAGGATGAGGTTAAACGTGTCTGAGAGCTTAGTTTTCGCCTAATTAAACGTAATAGAAACTGAATTTTCGCGCAGATTTTGTTATAAAAAGGCAAAAGTTACAGAATTATTGAACAAAGGACAGCGCATTAGTTAAAATTGTTATTTTTAAGCAATAGGATCAGATATGGATTAAAAGCTTTGGTTAGTGAAACAGCATAACATCCAGGTGAGATCGAATACCAAAACGTCCACATCCATCTGGAAAGGCATCCATCGTCGTTATGTCATTTAGAAGACAATTGAGTGTTAACCTGGTCAACTTGTTAACAGGAAGTAAAATATTCACCCATGTGGTTGTTGTTGTTGTTGTATAACACCTGCGCAAAAACAAATACTCAAGCATAACTCACGATGAAGGTATCTGTGGCATACCACTATACATGTTAGCTGCCATCCTACCTCCAGTCATTGCGAGAGGGTAGGTTGATGCAGTTATTGGAAGTGTCCTAAATACACAAATCATATAGCCAACTTCAATAAAAGTCATTCATTCTCAACTGCTAAAAGCAATCACAGATACATACACAATCCAAATTAACGACCTATTGTACTTGCGATACCAAGGTGAACATAGGCACGACACCTTAGATGAATGTTATATACCATATAGGGTTGAATCACATTCATTTCACCTGGAGTTCTATCTCTTCAAAAGTGTTCCATTTGATTGCACAACTGTTTAGTATAACTGTCATTCAAATAATATCACACGGCTGAACACATTTCCTTGTTCCTTCTGTCAGATTACATGTTGTGTTTGTCGGTGACATCAGATTCAATGATTCACGGGAACTTACAGTTCACCTGAAATGCCTTAAACATGCTTTACTTGATAGTCTTACATCTCAAGAAGAATTCGAGTGAAAATTTCACGATACTGACTGCTTACTCAGTTAATTTCATTGTCTTATGTACTCAACTGATTCGGGCATCAAAAAACGTGTCTTCAGGGAACTATGTTTGTCTGATTCCCAAGATAGTACTATCATGATTTAAAGATGACGGTTTTATGAGCAAAAGTAGAAAAACAACCATGAACAATCGGTTCTCCTTATGAATTTCGACAAAACAATTATCATTATTGCTCCCCTGGATTCCGAGCATACCATGGGGCTTCAACAGCGCGTCTCCATTTCATCCTTTTTTCTGTAGTGCATTTTATAGCTGACCCGAGGATTGCCCATCGACTGTCATCTCCTCATCATACAATCACTTCTACACCACCTTCGGACACCAAACTTGTCTTTTCTCATTCGGGTTCTGATATGTATCCATATATATATATATATATATATATATATATATATGGTGGTCTCTCTTTCTATTGCTCTCTTAGTCTGTGACCATTTCACTTTGATGAACCTGTCTCCTTTAACAATGTATATTCCCCTTATATCATATATAATATGTGTGTTTGTTGACAGTCTGTCCTTGGTGATATATATCCATATAATATGTGTGTTTGTTGACATGTCTGCTATATTTTGCTATGTATATATGGATCGATATTCCATTATAATTAGCCAATCATGTTAAGACTGTCTATTGATTGTTCACACACTTGTTCGGACATTCACATATATTTTTGCTCTCACACTCTTGTGTGATTTGATTCTCCTTGTGTTTGGAAAATAGAAGTATCATCGTAAACCTAGTGGTCTTCTGATTTCCGTCTTTCTTGCATCAGGACTATTAAATTCTCGACCAGTACATAACAATAATTTGGCGATGAGTACATAATAGGTTCCAATGGCATCACGCAGAAGTCTCCTTAGCGTCTATCCGATCCACCCATGATGAAATCCTCCATCCAATCAAACAAAAAAATCCCTACAAAAACCAATAATTAAAAATCGATCAGACGCTCACTAGATACTGACCATATTCAGGCAATAACCTGGGGTTCTAGTGAGAAGCCGTGACCAGTAGGGTGCAGCAGGCTCAAGGTGAGGCAGTAACTCATCGAAGAAGACATAAGCACTTCAGGTGTTGGTTTGTAGGGATCTGATTGGTTACATGATTTCATCATGAGCTGACATTAGTTAGAGAACCATTAGAAAACCTTCAGCAAACCTGTTGGGGCAATAAGTTCTTGATCTTTAGTATCAAGAGAAGGTGACAGCTGTTAATAAAAGTTCGCAATAGTCTTTTGTAAATGCTTTTTGTGACTCGCTGGCTAAGTTTCTGGCCCATCTAGAAGAACTTACTCACGTAGCATTGGTGTTAAAAACACTAAGAAGACTATATTTTTCTGAACCGTTGAATTGTTTCCGCGCAAGACATTTCGATCAGAATCTGTTCACATACGTACTTGTCATGGAAAATTGTATGGAAAATAAATACACTGTTAAGCTATAAGAGAATAAAGATCAGTCAAGTTAAAAGGTTCTATTGAAGGAGAACAGTTAACAACCAGTGACTCTGAACTAAAGCAGTCCAAAAACGAAACTAACTGATAAAAACATTGACAAATTCCACCGACCAATCAGATGGGTCCATAGTAGAAGTGCGTTATTTTAAAAAATAAGTCTATATACATGTTATGCAATGTTAAAAAGTAGTTAGTAGTAGTAGTTGTTATTCCTGTATATGTTCCGAGAAAACCTCTCAGCTTCTCATAGGAGTCCCCGTAGTTAGGCTAAGCCAATTTCCTTGATTCGTAAATTCGTCGAGATAACCGTAAACCATCATGTTTATTGACCCATTCACCTTGACTCTTGCTCCTGTTTTGTAGATGGCTCTAGAAACTTTCGATGGAATATATATAAGAGTCCTATTGGAAAGAAGGACTGATGACATTGTAATAAAGCTCAGGGATGACAGTTAGCTACACGTTTTCTCACTTCCAATGAGATTTGGGGGAAATTTGCAAGGTAATTCGCTTACAGCATCCACAATTCCCTGTATATACTGGAGGACTCATTTGATTGGTTGCCCAAAGTCACTAGTTCGTTTAAGGTTGCTATAGTTTCAAGTCACCCAGTAAACCAAAGAAACTGGATAATAAATAGTACATTTATTTTCAATGCTTTTTTATTTCTAATGTAAATTCCTAGGACAAGTATATGTGTGTGCGTGATCCGATTGGTCGAAATGTGTTGAGCAAATACAACATTACATAATTCAAACAAATTGTGTCTTCTCATTATTTTTTCAGAAAGTTATAGACATCTGAGAAATGAACATCAGGAAGGCGACGTGAGTATTGAGTATAGTTAGACAATAAATACCGATGTAATGAAGATGTGAATAGGGTTGAAATGGTAGAGGAAGGTGCAAGAGAGTCTGATCCAGTTTGTTTTGATTTAACCCCAGACTTCAGGCGCTACAGGTCAACTACACCAGTTAACTCACTTAGCCACCACCTCTACTTACTGTATACCTCACACTCGACCGTATTACCATGAATTGCAAAGGTTACGTAAATCTATTGCAGTTACTGAAGAGACAGCAATACGAATTGTATTGATAACTTACGATGCAGGAATCTGTGACAGACCAGTACCAAGTAAACTGCCTCCCATGATCCCTCCAACAGGAGCGAGAGGCATTCCCATTCCTGTTTGTGGATACGACCTGAAGATAAATGAGAATAGATAATTCTTGAACAACAAAAATGGAATTCATATGACATCACTCGTTGCAGAAAAGTTTAAGACCTCATAATTAAACTGTTAGTTAAATAATTAGGTATGATTCGGTACCTGACTAATGTTCTTTTTTATTTCCTTCACGTTCCCAAAGGAACATAGGGCCTCAAGCTAGTGGCTTGAAGTTTCTGTGGCAGTGTTTGATTTTACACGATGGGGTTGCTAGCCTCATGCCTAACCTTTCCTCTTTACCAGCTTTATTTCTGGTTCAGCGAAGTAAAGGAGTGCGTTGGCAGGTGATCCAACCTCGGACCATGTGTATGGTCGGGGAGCGTCTTTACCGCTGTGCCACCGACGCAGGACTAATACTCTACAATCGAGTATTAAAATTGTTGGTATTTAGAATATGGAAAATACTCACGTGTTCACAAATGATTGTCATTAGAACTGTAAGCACGTGGAAACAAGAATGTCGTTCATAATAAGAGTAGGGAGATTTAGAATATGTATAAATCATATTTTAAAATTGGACGTTTGATAAAACATTCTTCTCTGTATATTCACGTGTCATATTCATTCTCAAAGCGACCTCTTATCCTGCTCAAAAAGTATTCAAAAACACGACTACAAGAGGGGAACAGTGGCTGTATAAGGAGTGCGATAATCGAATATCTCATCAAACAACACTGATCATTCCATCTTAACAAACGCCTCTTTCAAAGTGATCTACAAAGTGAAGAACAACTTGCCGAAGACAATATGCTTTAATCTCCTTTGTATTGCTGAAACCTTAGCCGTTCAGTTGGAGAAACTAAAGTTATGTATACAAAATAAAATCGTACAACCACTTCTACTATTATGGCAACAAACCGTCTTGACTTCTGCTGACTTGATGTTTGTGTGCTTGTTTGTTTTTTCTATCTTCTCATAACATTTGTAACTTCTAGTACTCTTGCATAATTCCAACAGCATTTCAGTGTTGACATCGACCTGGTCTGTATGGATGTAAATTGAGTAAATGCCAAGCAATCCATTGCCTACTGGATGATGGAGGTTTCTTCTCTGGATATCGGCTGATATTGTGTGAGTGCCCGGGATTTATTTTTTTATTATTTTTGATTACAGCTTGATTCCACACCGTATTTTAGGTACAGGTATGGAATTTTCAGCATGTGATATCGGTAGCCCAAATTTTGCAGGGCGACCATTAATATCAGGTGTGCGTCGGCTGGGCGTCGAACCCCGGACTATGTGCATGATCGGCGAGAGTCATAACCGCTGTGCCACCGACGCACACATGATTTTAGCTCAGAGAGCCGAGGAGGTAGGTAGGTAGGTTTGACCAGAGAGTGATACGATGGTGGGTAATTTCTGGTGATCAGCGTATACTTTATGATCGCCCTGGTATCCGGATCGGACTAAACTCGTATCACGTTAGAGGTCGGTCATTTAGCGTTAAAGTTAGATTTGTCCCTATGAGTTTCAACACTTTATTCTAATGTTGACAAACGTAGGGGACAGTAAGCTGCGAATGACTATTAATGATTTAAACTTATCTTCCATCAAATATTTCAGTTTTAACAAGTTGACAATAGAAATTTCGGAGTGCGTTAGCTACTCAATGAATCTGAAAATCAATAAATAAAACTAATTATCGGAAATAATCAGTAGCACTTCACACTTCATACAGAAGGAAACATTCGACACTGTTACAAATAGCATAACTTATCTAGTAATCAAAAAAAACTAGGACTCACGCTGTAGGAAATTGTTGAAAACCTCCAGTGAAATTACTCGGATAGTTCTGCTGCATTGAGTACTCAGGCATTGAAATAGGCTGTGAAGGGACGGGCCTGATAAATGAATAAAACATTGATTACTACCAGAGTGAAATACATTATAATTAAGGCTGAGTAAGCTGTGAGTAAGCAAGCCCCCTGTCGCCTCTTTTATTTGTGATCGATTATGGGAAGCCAGCATATTCCACCGTCAAATTAATAAAGTTAATTGAAGCAAAAATGTTGTGAGCACAGCTGAAGACTGAAACTTGTGAGGCATTCGAAAAAGTTATTTATGCAAAGTAAGAATGGGATAAAATTGGATAAAATTTGCAAATTACACATTTCGAAGTAAGAACTCATCTTAATTTGCTTAGGAAAGCAGAAATATTCAGAGTGTAATACGTTTTCTTTTGAAACCATAAATTTTAATTAAGAAAGCAAGGGGAACATCACTTCAAACAATAGTATTAGCTAACCAGTCAGATGGATTTGATATAAACACCAGACCTTCATTTCCTCCGAGTTCATCAGTGGTATACCCATTGAATTGAATTTTTGATTTTCCCGTCGATTGATTGGACCGAAGTGCTCGGTCTCAGGTTGACATGTCGGCTTCTTGTGCAGATGCTTTGACGATGTCTGGGTATTTGAAAACTGTGGGCACTGGGTTCGAGCCTCAGTGGGAACACCATCACTCACTGAGAAATGCAGGAACATCCAGATGACGAGTACCAAATAGGACGAAATGCACATCCTGGATTCCACTGCTAGCCACCATCCACCAGCGGTATACCCAGTTTAATTCAGATAGTGGAGAGAAATAAGTTTAAACCACAGGAAATATGACTAGCTATTTAGGCAAACTAATAATACCTGGAATCAAATTCCAAGTCACAGTTTCTTTTGGAGACTAGAGTTATTGAAATCACTAGGATAATATTGTGGTGAGAGCTGGCTGCTCGTCAAATTGGTAGAGAGTAATTTACGTCCATGTTTACGTCCCTAGTATTGGTTGTGAGAAAAATATGAACAAAGACTGATTCAACAACCAACCACAGCAGACTTTGCATAGGTGAAGACAATTTGTAGATGGATAATCTGAACTTCAATAAACGGTCACAAAGAAATGAACGATGTTAATCTTTCAGCGAGAAACCACCAATCAGAAAACTGTATTTGTTAGCTTACAATAATCTATAATAATGTACATGAAAATCTATAAATATCTGTTGATTTCCTAAATAAACGATCTGTTGCCTGGCCCTTTTCTTCTATTGTTGCAATATGAATTTCTAGCACGCTCATGGAACTTTGTTCACTCTTACAACATTATTGTTATTATTATCTTAGCTTGCAAACGGAACATCAGGCTTCAATAGCGCAACTCCATTTCGTCCTCTCCTCTGCAATCACCTTTAACTAGCTCCTAGATTGCCCAAAGGCTTTCACCCCTATATGTCACCCTCAGACGATCAGCGCATCGTTTCTAACCTCAGTTCTATTCGAGACGTGGTCTGGTCACTCGTAGGTCTCCTCGACTTATGTCTAGTCCATCTCAATTTCCTTTGGCAAATTTTATATTTATATTTTTTATATTTTTGATTTACAGCTTGATTCCACACTGTATTTTTGGTACAAGTATGGAATTTTCAGCATGGATATCGATAGCCCAAATTTTGCAGGCCGACCATAGATATCAGGTGTGCGTCGGCGGGGGTTCGAACCTCGGACCATGTGCATGGTCGGCGAGAGTCCTAACCACTGTGCCACCAACGACACTGGTAACTGGTTCTGATTAGTTCATTGGTACAGTGCCTTGTTGCCAACTGCTTCTGGCTATCTAAACATGAATGTGCATCCAGATAGGGCAGCTGTGGATAAAAGTCTGCAGCCTGTTGGCTATGTTTTCCGTGATCCACCAGATTTTTGAGCCATATATAAGCACTCAGCAACCTAACATTAGTACTGAATCTTCCGAATCTTCTCCTTTACACTGATTGGGACAGATCTCTACACTGATTTCAAATTAATGATGGTCTGTCAAGCTTTTCTGATCCTGCCTATCTTTGGCATCTTCATCCTTGCCACCTGTAGTTAAAACGACACTACCCACATAAGTGAAAGAGGTAACTTCCTTTAGATTTCCCGGCGGTGGCAACTGATGCTTGCTGTTGTCGGTTAGATATCTTCAACACCAAATGCCTTTTGTGTGTTCACTAGAAGTCACATCTTCACTGCGGAACCTCTTCTGCAAATCTCATCGGTTCTCACCTGTAGGTATCCGAGTTTGTGTGACATTAGGCATAAATTATCCCAGAAGTCCATATTTTCTAAAGTTTTCTCATTAATCCAAATTATTCCTGTCTACTTGCTCCTCACAGTTGGCTACATGATCCAGTCCACCACAATCAGGAATATAGTTGGTGACAGTGAGTAGTCTTGTATTACTCCTACTTTCTCACCAAAAGCTTCCTTGAGCTTTCCGTTGTCTTCATATAGATGTTTAATGAAATTGATAAAGGGGTGCGGTTATACACTTTGTAAGCAACCTGAAACCAGTTTGAAAATCTTCTGCCTTCAGAACAAGATTCTGATTTTCGACACCAATGTGAAGTCGGTTCTTCTATAAGAGTTAGAAACTTGACTAACATGCGTGTCATGAAAAGGATTTCCAATTAATTAATTAATTAATTTGAGTTATCGCTTATATCATCAAAATATTTACAAAGTTGTGATAAATAAACAAAGTTGTAATTAGGAAATGCGGGGGCGGGGGGGGGCTGAAGATTAATAAATTCCCACCAGAGTTAAGCAATAGAAAAACGTTCAGCAAACATTCATCATTCAGTATTCAAAGTTATCTACAAAGTGAAAAGGAGACTTCCGAAAACGATAAGCCTTGGATTGCCGAGGACTTGGAGATTCGGATGGATAACTTTGATTTATCATATTCTTATCTGACATACCAAATGGACACACACATTATATTATTATTATTGTTTCATTTAGTTCCTAGAAAACATGGGGCTTCGACCGCATGCCTTTATTGTGTTCGGTTCTCTGCCAACCTTTTCACCTGGCTCCACGTCTCCCCACATGCTTTGATCTCCCCTTTGCATCACACCCTCCTTCATATCACCCTCACACGGACGACTAACTCCCCACTTTCCATTCTGGTTCCAGTCGGGTAATGGCCTGACGTGTCATGTCACTCATTTTATGGTTTGTTTTCTCAGAGTATGGCCAATCCACCTCCATTTCTTCCTGCGTATTTGTTGAGCAATCAGTTCCTGGTTGGTTCGCTCATTGCCAGAGATCCCTATTGCTGATCTTTTCTCGCCGGCCACCTGATCTTGACTATTGACCGATGACAGCTGGTGATGAAAGTCTGTAGCTTCTTTGAAGTGCCGTTCGTGACGCGGTGCCAAGTCTCTGATCCGTATAGTAGCAGTGACTTCACATTGGAGTTGAAAATCCGGATCTTATTTTTCATGCTGAGTTCTGAATGCTGTTGATCTCCACACAGACTTGAGAGAAAAGAAAGCTTGCCTTGCTTTTCGGATACTCACTTTGCCTACAAACCCCATAATTACATATTGGTTGGCGCTTGCGCTAAATATGTATATGATGAATTGACAGAAGTCGAAGCTCATGGAGTATTGGGTCAGGTCCCGCTGGCTAAGTGGTTTACAGGCTCGATTCGTGACCGGAAGATTCCAGGTTCGAGCTCTGATGGCTACTTATTGATGAAGAGTCCCAAACTTGGAAAAAATTAAATAAATAACTTTGATCATACAGCTAGGTGAATGAATTCTCCATCAGGAGATTCTTCACTGAACTGTTTGTCCTTACCTCAATAATTAAAAACTTTGTTAGTCAAGCATCAAGATATTTAGCTGAAATTAAATTGAGAAATGCACACATCCACCTACAATAGCATCCATCGTCATTATGTCATTTAGAGGACAATTGAGTGTTAACCCGATCAGCTTGTTAACAAGAAGGAAAAAACACACCTCTGTTGTTTTTGTTGTTGTTGATGAATAACACCCATGCAAAAATGAATTACACAAGCATGACTCACGATGAAGGTATCTGTGGCATACCACTATATACGTTAGCTGGTATATTAAGTCTAGTCGCTGCGACAGGGTAGGCTGATGCAGCTATTGGAAGTGTCCTAAAAACACAAATCAAATAGCCAACTTCATTAAAAGCCGTTGTGTGTGTGGATTTCTGGAATACAATCCCTGGTGGCAATGCTAATCTTGGTGACAACATCAAATCAACAAATGTATTACACCTTGATAGAAAGTTACATATATAACATTAATCGGAATTTCATGCATGTGAAGTTAGATTTCATCCATATTTAAAGCAGTGGACATAGGTTTCATCTTTTCTCAAACCCATTTTGGTACTACTATCACTCAAGTAATGATATTGTTGTGAGAGCTGTCTGTTAGCCTAAATTGGTAGACAGCAATTTACGTCAATATTTTCGTCCCAAATCTTGGTCATGAGAAAAAAACAAGATCAAAGACTAACTCAACAACCAATCACAGCAGACTTTGCGTGGGCGGATACGATTCGCAGATATATCAACGAAATAACCTTCAGCAGGTAAACAACCAATCACAAGACGTTACCTCTGTGCTAACATTAAGGAGTAATAATGTACATAAAAATCTATAAATATCTGTTGATTTTCTCAATAAAGGATCTACTGCCTGTCTCTTGTCTTCTGTCCTTGTAGTATGACATCACTAGTCACTAATATTTCTTTCCTATGCCAAACTGCATGTGATGTCTATGTGTTAGCTAGGATGACTGTTTCATTTGAAACACTAGTAAAGCCATAAAAATTCAACTACCACAGTGTAAATTACTTTGTCAATAATACTTGACATTCATTCATTCATTCCTTGGTGTGAATGTCACCAGCAATGAAATTCAATGCATACAAGCCTTACTTGATAATCTCATGTCTGAGAAAAATCGACTGTCTGCTTGATTCCAAGCTCAACATCATTATGACACAAACATGAAGATGATTATGGAAGTTCACTGAGCAGTAGTAACTGAATCATGAACATCTGGATAGTAAATACTGGTCGCTTGCCACTCTCATTTGGCGCATATGTAGCCCTGATACTGTGGAAGATCAGTTATACATTTTGAGGAAAATCCTAACAGAAAATGGATTTCCACCACGTTTTATAGATAAGAATATACATTCAAATCCTACAAAATGTGACTTATCAAGCGTACCCAAGAAAATACTTTACATGAGCTTGAAACTCAAAGGGGACTTCGCTTCCGATATCATGAAACGAGGGATATCACCGTCCCTGAAAGGAACATTCCCTGCTGCATTTCTGAGAATAGCCTTTACCAGTCGACCATTACTGTTCAGTAAACTGAAGGACAAGACCCCGCTGTTGACAACCTCTATGTGTGTTTATCAATTCACCTGCTCGTGTGGAGCTGGGTATATCGGTCGTTCGACTCGAGTTTTGTCCACGAGGGTGCAAGAACACTATCCTGCATGGTTACGAAGCGGTGGAAGTGGAGCAGTAAGAAGCTCGATCGTTGAACATCTGGTCGATAATGATCACCCTATCTCTATAGCCTCCTCCACCTTAAAAGTCATTCACAAGGCAAAGAGTAATTTACCCGAATCCCTACGTACCCGACTCATCTGTATTGCTGACGCTTTGGCTATCGAAAGAGAAAAGCCAGATCTCTGTGTACAAAAATGTTCGTCCAACCCCTCCAACTTTCGTGGTCTTAATCCCTCTATGCTAAAGTATGGTAATCCCCAATCATATTTTAGGTCTACCGATTTTTCATTTTTTCATTCTGTCTATTCATATTGTATACTCTTCCTTATTACGTCAATTGTTACCATTACTACTCTCACTTTGAAGTGTCCCCGGTATTATTTCACTTGTTCCACTTGTCAATCTAAATCAATTCATTTTTACAACGTTAAATTCTATACTATCAAATTTCACACAATATTACGTAACGTTTTTATTTTATTCAATTTGTCTACTAATCCTATCCATCCTATGAATTATTCTATATATGACATTAATTTGCTTTGCCACTTGACATTTAACTATGATTATAATCACAAATATTTTAGTTTTTAATTGCATTTCATACTATTATTATTATTTCATGTATTCATCACCTATGATTCAATTCCCTCACCGGATATAACTTCTTAAAAACCATATAAATAGGATTTTACAGCTTGATGATAAATTCGTTGAAAAGAGTCTCTTCGGTGAATCACTTGCTTTGCTTTTCTAAAACCTGCATACTTAATGTACTTAGATAACGTTGATCACCGATGTTCTTTGCATGCAGTGAAATCATGAAAGAGGCTGAAAACAGACATTATTTTGCAGGGAAATTCATTTCGGCCGCTACTGACTTCTCTTCAATCTTCATACATTACCTGAAAACTCTACTAGCGAAATCAATTGTTTACTATGTCTAATCATTGTTCAGCTGTATGCCTTCCATTCATATCCATTGTCATACATTACATGGATTACGTAAACATACTCCAGTTATTTCAGAAACAATAGTGAGATTAATACTGACAACTTACGATGCAGGAATTTGTGACAGGCCAGTGGCAAGTAAACTACCACCCATGATCCCTCCAACAGGAGCGAGAGGCATTCCCATTCCTGTTTGTGGATATGACCTGCATAAAGTAGAAAAAGTGCGTGTTAAATTAGTCAAAGAAGTGGGTGAATATGTGAACTTTGACGGACTGAATGATGCTAACTATTTGCTTGTGTATGCACCTGATTATAGGTGTAACGTGTTGAAAATTGGTCTACAGCAAACTGAGGTTACAGTGTTGGTTTGTAGGCATTTGATTGGTTACAGGATTTCATAATGAGCTGACATTAGTTAGAGAACCATTGGAAAACCTTGGAGTACTGGAAAGCTGTTTCGTACTAGTCTGGCACGTAGTCAATCAAATCCCTACAAACTAACACTTGAATATCGATGAGATGCTCACTAGCGACTTGTCCTATTCGGGTAGGTAGTTACCTGGGTGTTCTAGTGAGAAGTCGTGACCAGTAATGTGCAGCTGGTTGGGTGTGAAGACAAATACTTGTCGAAGACAATGGCTAGGGGTCGCGCTATGTCGTCAATTGGTAGAAGTTCGAATTCATGTGCTATTGTATCGGGTCCCAGTGGCTTAATGGTATACAAGCTGGCCTTGTAACCAGAAGGTCCTGGGTTCGAACTCAAGTGGCAGGTGCGTACAGATGAACAGTTCAAAACTAGGATGAAACAGCTGTCCAGTACTCCCTGCAGGTTTACCAATGGTTCTCTAACCAATGTCAGCTCATGATGAAATCCTGTAACAAACTGGTGCTTTATGCTAATGTATATACAATGTTTAAACATTGTGTTTGATGGAGATTTCGATTTATATATATATATATACATATATATATATATATATATATATATATATATATACATATATCAGACAGTCTAGTCACACACCTGTCAAAGTAGTTTATATGAAAAATAAAGGGCCAGTTAAAATAAACGAAGTGACAAACGGTCTAGGAGTAAGAATAATTAACAGTACATTTGGTAATATAATCAGATCATGGCTACCAAACTGGGTTAATAGTGCACATAAGGCGGAGCGTCGGTGGTACAGCGGCAGAATTCTCGCCAACCATGCATGTGGTTTGGGTTTCAATCCCCGGCCACCAACGCACTCCTTTATCTCTCTATGCTTGTAATAAGATCGGTAAAGAGGGAAGGTGGAGAATGAGGCTAGCAACGCCACCCCGTAAAAATAATAGACACCACTACCACTGAAACTTCAAGTCTCTAGAAGGTGCCCTATGTTCCACTGTGAACGTAAGGAAATTAAAAAATACAAGGCCGAGGGGTTTGGGGCTTACATTTATGAATAGCTATCACCTATGAGTATTATCTCAGTACGTATACCTGATTGTATCTATAAATTATCTTAAAAGCTGTTTTAATTTCACTTAAGTGTTTTACTGCAGATGGATTTGGGAGTCGTCTGCCACCTTGTGTGACCCTGTGTGACTACACACATGCATGTGAATTAGAATATAGTAATGGAATGTGACATAACTACTTGTGCAATGTTGAGGTTTATAGTGGAGCACCGTTTTGGTTTTTTTCAATAATTATAAGCCAAGCTGTATAGTAGCTTTCAGGGATGACTGAATTTAGTCTGTCATAAAGTCCTACTATTTATCTCTCCATTGCATGATAATTTGATGAAGACGTCTTACTTAGAGATGGAAAAGACCGTAGGCTTTGAAACTAACTGACTTCTGTGCCAGTGTAAAATTTTTCTAAATATGTCAGTTTTGGAAAAGAGTATACGTCAATATTTTATTTTCTTCATCTATAACATCTGTAACTGTACAAATGCGCTGAATCTTGTTAAATAGGCACTTTATTAAGCCCTTCATATTTTTTTAATCGACAGAAACTGTGGAAATATAAATATGGCTCCGTCTAAGTAAACTGTCTATAAATTCACCGCAATATTGTGATTTATGCTGAAAATTCCATTCTGTATCACAGGTACTGTTTTTGGAATAAAGTAAATCATTATTATTATTATTATTCTCTCTGACTCAAAAATACGTCTGGAAATGAAAGTTGGTTTAGATTTCACATGTGTGACTTGCACAATTTTGTAAAGAGTTAAGTGCATTTATTAGACGACATACATCTTCACGATTATTTCATATCAAAATAATGTTGTCTCTTATGAAAAAGACACTTCAGCGATCAAATCAACGTAAAGATTTTCTATGTAACACATATACACATCAGCTAACAAAGGTTCTAATGGACTTCTGATAACAACGTCATCCACTTGTCAAGAGGTATTGAGCAAATATACCACATCTCTTAAGATGATCTTCGTCATCTAATAACACTATCGAAATTTATTACAAGGACTAACCGTTTTTATGCAAGGCATGATTCAAGAAAGAAATATGCGATTTACTAGAAATATCCAATGGGGGAAAAGACAACGAAAGAGTCTTTGAATATTTTCAAGAGTGTGGTTTGTGTGAGGATCAGATTTGTTCATACGAGTTTGATCACAGGTTGATATCAGTTAGAGAACAATTGAAAACCAGCACTGGAGTACTGGACAGCTGCTGTTTCATCAGCCTAGTTTTGGGAATCATCAGCATTACACAGCCACTGCCAGGGTTCGAACTGAGGACCTTCCGGTTACAAGGCAAGCTAGCTCGTATACCATTCAGCCACTGGGATCCAATTTAATGGCCATCCTAGGAATTCTAACTTCTAACCAATTCGTGATTTAGAGCGACTGTCACAAACCAATGTCATCGGGGTGGGAACTTCAACCTCACACTTGACTGAATGGACCTCACTGGTCTTTCAATAATGACTGACAGTGAAATGAAAAACATCTGCATCATTACCAGGAATGTCAATTATAAGCCAGGCCTTACCAAATGAGGCAAAACTCAGTTGAATAGCATCAGTAGTCTTGAATCAGTAGCAGTATGCTTGGCGTTTTACAATATGACGGATATAATTAAAAGAAAGCCAAAGAAGCAAAACATTGTGTAGTGCATGTTCATACACACACACACACACAAACAAGTTTACTATGCATAGAATTATTATCGATTTTTCTTTTGTACAATATGAATATGGTGTATGAAGTATAACTTACATTGCAACAGGTGGCGCTATCATACCCGATGGAACTGGGCTGTAAAGAAAATAAAAACATAGAAATCAGATATTCATGAATTTCGACGTAGTGAACAAACAAAAAGTCGTAACTTCACTTCAGTTGCCTAGCTGGTATCTCTACGAATATAACTTTTAAGAACAGTTGTATATCAGAGAAAATACGACTTAATAATCACCGAACTTAACTCATTTAGTGGTTCTCCATCTGATAACAGTTCGTGCTCTAACTTGAAATTAATCAATTCCTTGGGAATCAATACTTGAAAGTCAATATAATGCTAACTAGTGATTGATCGACTGACTGACTGAAATTGCCTAAAGTTCTAGTGACAAGTCATGATCACTGGAATCCATCGAGTCAATTGTAAGGGCAAATACTCACCGTTGGAATTGCTTGGCAGTGGTGTTAATAATCAGAAAATGACCATTCCAGTGGGTGAATGGACAACTAGCTCTCCTTTTAACATGAAGGTCCTAGGTTCGATACCTGATAAAGTCGTGTGTGAGTACTTCTGAAGAGTTCCGCAGTAGGACAAAACAAATGTTCATTACCAATCGATACAAAGAATAGTTTTGTGTCATACACTTAAATTCGTTGAACTCTTAGCCATGAAACGACCTTGTTCTTCTATAGCAAAATATATTATAGAAACAGGATATAAAATTGATGTTTCCACACGTCTTTTAAACCTATGTGTAAAACCGGTTAGAGGGAGGGCGTATCCTAAAGTTTTGGAAGCCGTAGCTAGCAATTAAGAAGTTTAAATCACCTTTATGCGTTCAAAGCAACAATTAGTCATCACACTAACTAAACCTTTCTTGGTGAACTTTATTTTGATACTAGCCAGGGTAGATGTAGTATGTATTACCTCTCTCATTTGGTTTAGTGATCATCACTGTTATTTTCACCTTCACTTTGTCCTTTTAACTTGACCTAATTTAAATTTCTCACCTCTTAACTCTTTATTAATTTCATACCTATTCATATGAGAAGTCCGTGTGTGATGGATCAGATTGTTCGAAATGTGTTGCTCAAATACACAATAAACGATTCAGACAAATTACGTCTTCTAATTACTTTGTCTAAATTCATAAAGACAACTAATTGTTTTAAAAAGCAAATGAATGGTCATATACTTTATAAAATAACTCATGAAATTGTCTACAGTTAGTTGGTAGGGAATTGATTTGTTTTATGTTTGGTCACGGATCCATTTCAGTCTTAGAACCATTGGAAACCAGTTAGGAGTACTAGGCGTCTGTTTGTCCTAGTTTGGGGCTTACTGCCACTACGTATTCACCGAGATTCGAACCCCAGAATTTCCAGTTATAAGTCAAACTCGTAAACCATTTAGCCGCTGGGACTCCATCCGATGGCACATGATGTTTTAAATTCTACGAATTCATGATTTTAGTGCAACCACTAGCCGATGCCATCGGGGAGTATAAATCTCAAAGAGGTGTAGAGATAATAAGATTGGCTAGAAACTAAGACATTGCGTAGCAATTTGAGAATTATGAGAAGGTAACTCTGTTTTCTCCTTTTGTTTTGATTATAGCTTGACTACACAGAATATTTTTGGTACAAGTATGGAATTTTCAGCATGTGATAATTTATTATTATTATTGTATCTTTTAGTTCCTAGAGGAACATAGGGCTTCAACTGCGCACCTCCATTGCCTTCGGTTTTCTGACAACTTTTTCACCCTGCTCCAGGTCTGTCCACATGCTTTCATCTCCTCCTCGCATGACCTCCTCCAAGTCACCCTTGCACTGACGACCAACTCGCCACCTCCCTTTCGGGTTCCACTCGAGGGCTTGTCTAGTGATGTCACTTGATGGTTTCCTCAGCGTATGGCCAATCCATCTCCATTTCTTCCTGCCTATTTGTTTCACAATCGGTTCCTGCTGGGTTGGTTGGCTCCCAGAGATCCCTGTTGCTGATCTTTTCTGGCCATCTGATCTTGAGTATTGAGTGAAGACAGCTGTTAATGAAGGTCTGAAGTTTGTTCGAGATGCTCTTTATGACTCGCCAAGTCTCTGATCCATATAGTAGCACTGACTGACTTCACATTGGAGTTGAAAATCCGGATCTTATTTTTGATGCTGATTGCTGTTGACCTCCACACAGATTTGAGAGTAATGAAAGCTTGTCTTGCTTTTCCGATTCTGGCTTTGATATCCTCGTCAGTTCAGTCAGCCTGTAGTTGAAACGATACTTCCCAGGTAGGTGAAGGAGGTTTTTTCTTTCAGGTTCTTCCCATTTATGCTGAGTGTTCTCTGTTGGTGTTGGCCAGGAATCTTCATCACCTCTGTTTTATCTATGTTCACTTGGAGTCCTATCTTTGATGCTTCTTCTGCCAACTTGTTGCTTTTCACTTGCATATCTTCCAGTTTGTGGGAGATCAGACATATATCATCGGCGAAATCCAGATCCTCCAAGTCTTTTGTGTCAGTCCATTTGATGCCTGTTCCCTCGTTGGTTGCCGTTGTCTGTCGCATTGTCCAATCAATTGCAATCAGGAAGATCATTGGTGATAATGGTAGCCCAAATTTCGCATGCCAACCATTGATACCAGATGTGCATTTGGCAGCGGATTGAACCCCGGACCATGTGCATGGTCAGTGAGAGTCCTAAACGCAGTGCCACCGACGCACATGATATTCTTTTAAATAAATAAAGGTGACAAGTGAAATTATACTGGAAATTGCTCATTGTGTGGTTAGTAATAACAACCCATATACGTTTCATAGATAAAAATATATAGTTACCAAGAAAGTGCTGATTATGAATGCTGAATTCAAAGGTGACTTAACCGCCAACATTCCTAGGAGAAAGACCTCACAATCTCTGAAAAAAACATTCAATGCAGCATTGTTGAGAATAGTGTTATTTAGTCGACCAGAAACATAAAGGGCAAGATCCTAAAGTAGACCAACTCTATGTGGTTTTATCAGTTCAACCTCTCCCGGCCGACTGACCACAAAGAATTACTAACAAGGAACTCTGGCGAGGAACAAACCAACAGGTGAGAGCCGTTTGCTCAACAAATATGTAGGAGAAAATGGAGATGGATGGACCGGGCATACATTGAGAAGGCCATCGAATGACATCGCTCTGAATGCTGGTCATCGCTCGAGTGGAATGGGAATGGGAAGCAACGAGTAGGTCGCTAATGTGAGGGTGATATGGAGGAGATCATGCGGCGAGGAAGAGGAGAAAGAGGAAATGAGAGATTGTGGGCAGTCGTGGAGCTGGCCAGTTGAAGAGGACATCAGAAAATGGAAAAAAGTGGAGATATATTGTTCAAGCCGTATGTTCCACTCAGAACCCAAGGGAATAATAATAAATACCGACTGTTTAATGTACAATACTAACTATTCAAAGGTAGGATAATCGTATTGTGGGCGCGATTCGCACTCGACAAAATCTTAAAATTCCTTGTCTAGTTAACTAGCTAACAGTAAATCTGGAGAATTTGATAGGTTGGGTGTGAAGCCCAATCAACCCCAATCATTAAAACGAACATCACAGTTACTGAAACTGCAAAGCTCAAAGCTCCGTATTCCGCTTAAAGCCGAAAGAAATGCCCTATTGATTACATTTAGAACAATTTATTGTAAACAACCTTTCAAAAGTGATGATCAATTTAGTATGTACCGTTTATGGAAACAGTAGATTATATTTGTCAAGAAATCACCGAAAGGCAATTGGACTTAGGAATCCCCTTGTGTAGCCTCAAAGAATTACTTCTTAAATGCACAATGAATGTTCACTTTGTCTTTAATAATTCCTACTATCGACAAGTTGGTGGAATAGCTATGAGTTCACCATTAGACCAAATATTAGCTGACTTCTTTCTCGCCAAACTTGAAAACGGGAAATTGAAAGACATCATCAAGCAGTTGGATATGTATTACCGATATGTCGATGATACATTTATCTTAGCTGATGGGAATGTTAACATAGACGAATTGTTGCTGAAATTCAGCAACATCCACCCTTCGCTTACCTTTACTTGTGAAGAGGAGCAAGAGAACAAACTACATTTTCTGGATGTCTTGCTAAGTAGGCGAGAAGATGTACCACTTGAGGGAAGCGTGTGTAGAAAAAGCATATTCACAGGGCAATACACACAATTCCTTAGTTACGTGCCCATTAAATATAAAAGGAATGTTGTAAAATGTCTCACGAGCAGAGCAAGAAAGATATGTAAGGATGACCTCTTACAAAAGGAATTTGAATATATTCACGATTCCTTGATGGAGATGGGCTATCCGAGTAGTTTCATAAAGAAACATATGAAAACATCAGAGAGAAAACCTGAGACTATGACTGCACATAAGCAACCTCTATTTATTAAGTTACAATTTAACGGTGACTTATCAAGTGAGATTTTGTTCTAGAGACTTTCTAGGAGTATACGAAGAACATTTTACGCAGCATACCTATGTTTGTCATTCTCTAGCTGATGAATGATCGGGACGCAAATGAAGGATAAGCTTGATAGTTTTGCTATATCTGTGGGCATTTATCAATTCAGGTGCACCTGAGGTGACAGTTATGTTGGGTGTACCACTAGACCACTTAGCCAACGTGTTAGTGAACATCTCCCATCCTGGTTTGACAAAGGACAGACAAAAACAATCCGTAGCTCAATCTTGTCACATTTAATTGATAGTGGTCATGTAGTCGAGAAAACGAAGGCCTTCAAAGTAATTCATCGTATTCCACCGAATCTTTCCAATAGACTGCACACAGCTGAGGCGATAGGCATTCGAAATATTAAACCTAAACTATGCATTCAAAAGAAGTTCGTACAGCCATTATCCCTCCCTCATTGGCCTATTAAGACATAACCAACTGATAACTTCTACACCACCCCTTGTTTATATTTTCAACCCCTTCGTTATCATCCCTTAATCTTATCACATCTTCATTAAAAACATGTCTCATTTACTTCCCTTACAATCTAGCATTACTTAATCGGTTCATTTGTTTTTACCAGCCTTTATCGACTACTTCCACTTGAAAGATTGTTTGTTTAATCATACTGTTTTTTCATTATTCGTGTTATCACAGATTGCCTCACTTTTTCATCCTTATTATTGATAAGACCATTATTATTATTAATATTATCATTACTACTATTATGATTAATTGCACAATTTATATTCACCATCTTATTATCCTATAGATAAAACACCATGATTGGTTTATATTTGAATATTTATTTGTAAAGTTATGTATATTAGAGTTAATTTGTCCTGAAGAGATCTAATTGAAAACAGCAATATTGTTCGCTTAAATGTGTTGTTTTAAACTTTAGTATGATTCAAGAATATAAAATTATAGTTGACAATAATAAGATTTTGTCCACCAAGGCAGAAATCTACGATACGAGGACTGTTCCGTCGCATCCAGCTGGTGGTGGGCTTATAACAGACAAGATTTCAGGAATAGTGATCATGTACAGTAATATTGCCTTATTGTAGAAAAACATGCTTATATGGAAATAATTAACAAAGAATTAACTCACGAAGATGGAATTTGCGGTAAATCGATCAGATCTCCAGGTAGACCGCCTGGTACTGAAGCACGTGGCATATCCATAGGTGGAAGTGATCTGTATTGGAAAAAAGTGGACAAAAATTAGTTAAAATTAGTATGCTATGGGTTATTGGATCCTATCCCAGTAGACCACTGGTCATCAAGCTTATCTCATGACCTGAAGTTCATGTATTTGATCCTCATTCGGGGGTACCTACTGCTGAAGAGTCCCAAACCGGGATGAAACAGCTGCTCAGTACTCCTTGGTTTTCAATGGTTCACCAAAGGATACCAATCTGTGGTCAAACTCGAAAAATACACCTAATCCATACAAATCACCGACTATGTCTTGTCGTTCTTCTGTCTATCTATCTATTATTATTATTGTTCCCTTCGGTTCCTAGTGGAACATAGGGCTTCAACTGCACGTATCCACTTACTTCTGTCTTCTGCTGTACTTTTCACCTGCATCCACGTTAGTCCATACTACTTCAACTCCTCTTCACACGATCTCCTCCATATCACCCACCCTTGGACGTCCCACTCACCGCTTCCCTTTCGCCCTGGTTCCACTCAAGCAATGGCCTGATGCGCGCGCGATGTCACCCAGTGGTCCGGCCTCCTCAGTGAGTAGTGTCCAATTCATCTCCACTTTCTCCTGCATATTTGTTGGTTGTTGGGCGATTGGTTCTTGTTTTGTTTGTTCCCACAGTTTCTTGTTGGTGATTCTTTCTGGCCCGGTCATCTGATCTTCAGTATAGAGCCATCAAAGACAGTTGTTGTTTGATAAAGGTGATGTCTGCAACAGGCTGTTGGAAATATTTTTGTGACCCGTCCACCAAGTTTCTGATCCGTATAGAAGAACTGACCGACTTGACGTTTGTATTGAGAATCCCACCGAATTTTGTTGTTGATGCTGGCTGAGTGACGAAGATTTACAGATTAGTTTCAGGGTGATGAATGTGTTTCTCGCTCGCCTTCCCGATTTTCGCTCGATTTGATATCCTCGTCCGTTCCTCCTATAGTTGAGACAATATTCCCTAGATAAGTGAATGAATTAACCTCTTTCAAATCCCTCCCGTTGATGATGATTGACACTGGATGTTGTTGATGTTATTGTTGTTGGTTGGTTGGTTGGTTATTTTCATCACCTCCGTCTTGTCTATGTTCACTTGGGGTCTGTCCTGTGTTTGCTCCTTCTTCGACCAGTTTGTCGGTTTTCGCTTGTAGGTCTTCGATTTTGTGACAGTGACATCAAACATAAATCATCCACGCGCGAAATCCAGGTCTTCTAGGTCCTTCGCGTCGGTCCAGAATATCCTTGTCTTCTCGTTTCCCACTCATTGTCTGACGCATAATCCAGTCCACCGCAATTATCACATTATGGTAATTCTAGTATTTTGACATAGTTTATCACTAGCAATTATTGGATGAACCTAATTTATGTATGCAATCTGTATTCATTCATGGTGTTAGATGCGTTGCTGCCATCTCATCTGTGACATATTTAGAGACTAAATAAGTTTGTTTAGTGTTTATTGGTGTTTCCGGCTATTGCTTTATAGCGATTCAATTAATTTGAAGCTTTAACGTGAACTGACCTCATTTAGAGGACTTTTGAAAACCAGGAGTTACTGGATAGCTGTTTCCTCTAAGTTTGGGGCGCTGTTCAGCAGTATGAAAGTATCACCAAATTTTGAATTGATGGGAGTTGAAATTCATTGGCTCAACACTGGATTCCTTTGCAGTGGCTGACCTGATAACCTGAAGGTCCTGCATTCGACTGTCGTCTGAGTGGAATAATGGATACTCACTGGTTCTCCAACTGATTTAAGTTTTAGAAAATGCTGTTGAATATATATATTATCATTGCTATTTTTTAAATTAAATGGTATTGATTGCTTTAACTAAATTAAAAGTGAACTGTTTCATATATACCCTAGTTGTTATAAACTTACAACAATCACGGTTTACTGAGTGTTGCTCGAAAGCTATAACACAGTTGCACTTTACGCACTGTTGATGTAAAATTATTATTAAACTATTATTATTTGCTCCTGGGCTTCTGGTTGTAGTATAGGACTTCAGAGGCACATTTCCACTTCACTCAGTTCTATGGCGTCATTTACAACCGACACAATGACAACTCACAGGTTTTCACTTCCCCTTAACGTGATTTTCTGCATTTTACCTTCCCACCGCCTTGTAGCCGCCTTCAACTGAATAGCCTGGTGTGTAATGGTTAGTTGAATGTCTCCTTAGGATATATATATATATATCCAGTCCCTCTTCATTTCATTCTGCCTACCTGTTAGGCGCTGGGGTCGTTAGATACTAGAGGTTTCAGAATAGAACAATGCACAAGTCTGTGATAGTTCAAGATGTCACACTTTACAATTTAAGGGAGATATAAGGAGTGGGAATAAACGAGAGAAAGAATAAATTTATGGAGTATAATGTATGTATGTGGTTGTATGTACATTGGTAGTGTATTCTACAGTGCGATTTCGTTTGAGTGAATCAATCTCATGCCCCAACCCTGAACTCTCTGCGGTAAACACTGATGTGGGATTCTTATGGATGGAGTTTCTGTCCTCAGCTCTTGGGGAATATTCTACTTGAATTCAAGTTACTTCTTACAGATGGATTTCAGCTAAATAGTTTTTTTTCTACAGGGCTTGCTTTGTGCTTAGAAATCTATGTAATCTGTATAGATCGATGCTTGACGGCGCTGTCTAGGTACTTTTGAGTTTTCGATATTATTATTATTATTATTATTGTCGAATAGAATAATAGATAGCTTCTACTCACAAACAATCTTCTTTTCGCTGGCTTTAAAGCGTTCTCTAACTGTGGTTTACCCAAAGGGATCATGGAAAGCAACACAGTAGGACACAAGGTTTGATTCTCAACGTTTAGACCTCAGCGACTCACTTGTGTTGGCTACACCAGGAGTTCTTCAATGAACAAAATGTTCCTGTATTGAGTCATAAGAAAAAGACATAAACAGCCAAGAAAATTTCCCCTATCGACGATTCATTTTCATAAGGCGCTGTACAATCGTGATTATATTTAACAAAGAAATCATTAGACCAGTCAGATACTGGTAAAATTTGTCCTCGAAAGTGTATTACTTGATGTAAGGTGTAACCTAGAAAGAATGAACCTGGAATTCGAAGGTGACATCGAAACAGAAATTCTTATAAATTGCCTCTATAAATGTCTGAAGAAGACATTTCAGATAGACACCTTACGTATCGCATTCTCCAACAGACAGTTAATCCAATCTAACGTTAAGGATAAAATACCGCTTTTGGCCACTTCAATGTGTATTTATAAATTTCCCTTCTCTTTTGGAGCAAAGGGTAACTTCTGAAAGCAACGTCTAGTCCACAAACGTTTTGCTTGGTTAGCCAGCCAGAAGAGAAAAGATGAATAGCAGCAGCTCCAGCCTCTAACACCTTGTCATCTATAGACATCGGGAACCCCCGCATGAGTGCTTTATAGTGCTACACAGAGACCCTCATTATCGTACAATGTGATTTCGCATACACCATCTGTACACAGCTGAAGCATTAGCTATTCGGAATCTGAAACCTGACCTCTACATGTATTCACAGTGGCCAAAGTAACGTTCTTACTATTATTATTATTATTAATATTGTTTTGTTATCATTATTATTCCCATCATCCATATTTTATTATCCCTATATTACTGTTGATGAATAAAATTGCTTTTTCATACAGATTTTATGTAAAAACACTTTATTGTTTTTCCAATAGTTCCTGTCCATTCTATACAATCTTATGGATTAGTCACATTTACTACGTCATACCAACTTCTACCCCTTTTATAGTTTCCAAAAATTCATCCCTTCTAGGTCACACCTCACATTACGTAATACATTTTTCGAGAACAAAATTTACCAGTATCTGATTGGTTGTCTTATGATTCCTCCGTTAAATATAATTACGATTGTATAGCAGCATATGAAAATTAATCATCGAAAGGGAGAAGTTTCTTCGCAGTTTACGTCTTAATGGCTTAACGGTATACAAGCTCGCCTTGTAACCAGAAGGTTCTGGGTTCGAATCCCGGTGGGTGCGTATTGCTGAAGAGTCCTAAACTAGGACGAAACTGCTGTCCAGTACTCCCTGCAGGTTTTCCAATAGTTTTCTAACCAATGTCAACTCATGATGAGATCCTGTAACCAATGAAATCCTTACAAACCAACGTCTTTTTCTTGTGACACTAAGAGTTCGTAAAGAGTGAATCCATCTGTTTCATCAAGATCGACTTTAACCTTTGTCACCAACAGTCTCCAACCATCTGTTTTGGTCATCTTGAGGATTTCAACAAGGTAGTCTATACCTTCCGACGTAACTGACCGGGATCAACGGAGGGAGGCTTTATGAAGCGATACTACATTTTGGTTTGACCACCTTTAACTGTTTTTTCAACCTCATCCGATGACAGCTAACATTCCACGGAGAGAAAGTTATGACTTGGTATGCGTAACTTATCTCATAGCTATACCGATCAGTACATCTTCATAGCTTTATCCATCGATTTTTCCCCCTCATCTGACAATCTACTCCTAACTTCAACTTTACTTACCGTATTGTGCGTCGGTGGCATAGTGGTTAAGATGCTCACCGGTCATGCACATGGTCCGAAGTTCGATCCCAGGCCGACGCACACCTAAACCTCGCTAAACCACTTATGAGACTGGTAAAGAGGAAAAGTTGGGCATGAGGCTAACAACCTCATCCTGTAAAACTGAACACTGCTACAGAAACTTCAAGCCACTAGCTTGAAGCCCTATGTTCCACTGGGAACGTGAAGGAAATAAAAAACACTTTAAAGGAGGGATAGAAAACAAACGTGGTCTAAAGACAAAAACATTGTAGCGTTTGCTTCAGTTTAGGCAACTAAAATCCATCGTCTTAGCAGAAGACCAGGTAGGGATCAGGATATAAGTTACTGTCATAAAAAATTTGCCTCCTCCCCGGAACTCCTTTCGTTTTCGTCTACTTGAATGATGAATAGAACAGTGGTATTTAATTACAATTTGAATTTCCTCAGACAATTAGTTGGATAGTGGTGATTGTCTGCATGTGTTTCATTTTCCAGTTAACCAAATAGGTAAGGGAAAAGTTTAACAGTATTCACTATGGTTTTGACTAATTTCATCTACAATTGGTGTCCTAAATAATCCTAATAATCCCATTTAATGCTTACTAGCAAGTTCACTAGTCCGTTTCCAACCAACTGACTTGAACTAGTCTTTATATTACAGGATTTGTATGGATAAGAATTAGTTTCAGTGTACATTTTTCCACGAATAAACATCACTTATATGCCGATGAAAATCAAGGAGCACTGGATTTATGTTTCATATCAGTTTGGGACTCTTCAACGGTGCCTTCTCACAAGCTTACCACAAATCGAATACGGGACCTTCAGGTGACAACGCCAAGCTGGCCGGCTGGCTGTTAACCCACTAGGTGCAAAAATCACTGACTTGTGCATTATAACCCCAATAAATTCATGATATACAACTACCCTCAACCATTAGCATCTACTTCACCTTAATGCTGCTAGTCACGACTTTTCACTACATACTCAGGATATTCATCCTGTAACCAGCAGTGATCTGGTGATTGATATTTCGACTGTGGTTTCTATTTTTAGGGATCCATATTTATTTTGAGTGTAGAAATCCACCCAATGATGAAGAGTCCCAAACTAGGACGAAACGATTGTCTAAGATTTTCAGTGATCTAAAACTGCTGTTGGATTATGATGACTAAACACATATCCCCACACAAAAATACATATTCAAATCCCCGCTTGCCGCTTGAAAACTACAAGGTTATACATACACTGAAATAATATCAATAAAAACAAAACAGGCAGACTTACCCATTTATTTCATCTGGGAGGGTACCTCTACCTCCTCCATTCAATCTCCAATTATTCATAGAAGCCAATTCTGTTGAAGTTAATATTGCACTACGCTTTCTTCGACGTCTACGTAGTAAACAGACTATGAGTAATATAAGCGCAGCTAGTAGCAATAATGAAGCTAGAGCTATCAATGCAATTGCAGCTGGATGTACTGAAGACAGAGAAAAATATGGAAGGGAAATTCTTTTTCAAAATAGTTTTAATTAGTATACAATTGGTGGATGGTGGCTAGCAGTGGAATCCAGGATGCGCATTTCGTCCTATTTGGGACTCGTCAGCTGGATGTACCTGCATTTCTCAGTGAGTGATGATGTTCCCACCGAGGCTCGAACCCAGTGCCCATAGCTTCAAACGCCAAAGCGTTATTCACTAGACCACTTGGGCCACTAGAGCCACCTCTTGTGCAACGGGTCATATTAATTATTCAATTGAATTTTTGATTTTCCCGTCGATTGATTGGACCGAAGTGCTCGGTCTCAGGTTGACATGTCGGCTTCTTGTGCAGATGCTTCGACGATGTCTGGGGATTTGATTTGTATACAACTGGTGGATGGTGGCTAGCAGTGGAATCCAGGATGCGCTAGCCACCATCCACCAGTTGTATACAAATCAAATCCCCAGACATCGTCGAAGCATCTGCACAAGAAGCCGACATGTCAACCTGAGACCGAGCACTTCGGTCCAATCAATCGACGGGAAAATCAAAATTTCAATTCAATAGTTTTGATTACTTGTAAGTAGTTCTGTATGTTTCGCTAAATTTCTTGGAGATTGGATGTGGGTGAGAATACAATATATATCGTCAAAACAAACTTGCCTCCCTTTGACTGTCGCTCATCATACAATTGTGGTGGCTTTGACGGCCAAACGGTTCAGTGAATAACACTTTCAAGTTTGAATCGATCAGTACTGAGTTCGACACCCATTGGGGAATCCAGGTACATTTGCTTGACGAGTCCTAAACAGGACGAAATGCAAATCCTAGATTTTCTAAGTGCTAGTCAACATTTTTCTTTCAAAGTATCATCTTCGGCACGGCGGAATTACTTAATGTAGGTTGTCTGTTAGGTAAAATTCGAATGTTTATTATAGAAAGGTGACTTAAATAAACACTTGATAATTTGAAGCACACCATCAAAAGTGAACACTAATCAGACAATGAACTATCCGTAAGCCTGAAGGTTTTGATATTCACGAAGTGAATGGTTTTGAAAATTCATCTATGAAATATAAGTTGTATTCCGGCAATGCATGCTAGGTGTGGCAAACTTAAGGTCTGAGATATATTTCCTACTGTACCTCATTAATTAAATAACCTGTCTAGTCAGCTAGACTCGTTCATGTGGCGACGTGGATCATTGGCATAAGCGATGAGCTTTCAGTCAGTGGGTTCTTGATTTGACTCCCATTCCGCTTAGTTCAGCAAAAGGCAGTTGGTTAGTATCATCAACCCACTTCCAGATAACTAATTTCTAAGAGTTCGGATTTCTACTGAGGTCAAGACGACGGTAACTACTTTTTGCAAGGATGATCCTGAAGTGTATTCAGTTGAATGAATCACTGAAAACTAGGCAGTGCTGGACAGCTATTTCATTAATAGCGCACACCCACGACTTCATTATGGATAGAAACCGGGACCTACAGGTGAGCTGTTTGTCCATTCAACCACTGGGATGGAATTCAGTGGCTCGCCTATGAATGATAACTTCATACAATTTTCAGTAATAAATAGCGCGACTACTAGCTAGTGTCATCAGCACGAGTATTTCTCTTCACACCTACCGCTGGTCATGACTTCCTACTAGAATTTTAGGTAACTTCATTCAGTGGTCAGTCACTAGGATGCTTGCGAATTAAAACTTTCACATTTGCATTATACTCAAAATCTGCTTTCGTAAAAATGCACTGCTAATATTTATATTTTGCATGAAAGTAAAACACGTGAGCCAATGGTTTCATGGTTGGATGCTAGTCTTCCATGCGACGGGAGATCCGTATTCTCTTCTTGGTTTAACTCACTCTTGGAACTTGCCTAGTTTACTATCTGAATGTATACCAGAAAAAAACCTGTGAAGATTGGGCTGGCATGAGGCCACCAACGGCCATCTTCCAGTAAAACCCACACCATGGCTATCGGGAACTAAAAATCTTGAAGCCTGAAGCCTTATATCCCACTCAATATCCATGTAATTAAAAAAAACCTTTAGTGTATAGTTTTTCCTTTGATTGACATAATGAAACTTCTTGATGTGCTATTCGTCTAATACATTCACTAATAATCCTGCATTTAGGTGACTTATTAATAGTATCTCATATTAGATAGTTGAAGGCAATCGGCCACAGAAAGTCTTGGACCTAGGTTTCGTGCTAGTTGGCACTCACCAGGTAGCAAGGCGTATCTGCAACCTTGAAGGAACTCATGTCCCTGCTAACATTTTTACCTAAGTAGTTTAACAAATGCATTTGTGAAATTGTTGTTATTTAATGGTTGGAAGCAATCGGCAGGAAGCTTTGCACCCTAGGTTTTGTGCTTGTTGACACTAGTCAACACGAGGACATGAAATTCTTCAGTATTGTAGACACACCTTGCTGACTGACGAATGGCAACGCGCACAAAACCTAGGAGCAAAGATCCCTGCTAACTGCTAACAGACATCTAATAATAATAATTCAGAGTACACTGTGATGTCATTGTTTCGCTGTGTAAGCCACAGCTTCTTCAGCAGAAATATTTAGATTTTATTAATCATCATAAATATATATAGTCATAAATTAGATTACTTAAATCTGACTCAGCGCTCAAATTATTCCAGGAAATTTGTAACATCTACGGTCTGGAAACTTATAATCTTAATCATACCTGGTCTATATTCCCTATTGTCTATATATTCTTATGAAGTGGCTAACAAATATTTTACAACTGCTTACCCATACACCCACACACACGCACACACCATTGTATAGTGCATATACACACGTATATTTTCATATTCAGTTATCTACGACCCTGAACATTTAGTCGAACATAATCTGATGAAAAATACACTCTGTTTAAAGTGCTTGATAAAAGTAGACTAATCATTATTATAAAGTCAATCTGAACGAAGAATATTCTTTTCAATAATTTCTCCTCTTCAGGTTCTCACAACTATCAAATATAATATTTGTTGTCGTTATAATAATGACAGTCAGTTATGCGGCGGATACATAATAGATTAATTGTTATGGTGTATCAAAATAAATAGTCGTATTTGTGTGACAAAAGTGCTCTGGGCTGAAATCGATTACAAAATATTTCGGTGAAATGGGAGACAATGGTGGTGATTAGTCGTCATAACAGATTTGTAGAGTGTGGGGTAGAAAAATTGACAAGTCAGTTCAAGGTTATAAAACCGAATTCCGAAGTGGTTATCACGTACAGTTCGCTTACGTCTCCTACACATAGCTGAAGCTGTTGCAATAAACCGTAACTTTGCATCCAGAAAGAACACGTCCAGACGCTGTTCCTACCGTGGCCAAACTTGGATTGATGATTCTTCTTCTCACCAAGGGTGCTCCTTCCCGTTAACCCTCTTGGTTTTTTTCCTCTGCTTATTATCACAAATATTATTATTACAATTATTATTATTATTCGTCATAATTTATGCCCTTCATGCAAACATTCCTTCAATACTGTCGAATTTTTCATTTATACTATCCGGACTTATTATTAGTGATATTATCTGTTTTCCCAATATATGCCTCCACCTGTTTCATTTCACACATTCGTTATTTCATTATGGACATCTCACTGCATTCTTACTACCTCCTGTTTAACTCAGACCACTTTGTACTAGCCACTCACTCACCTGACACTTTTTATAACCTTGAACTGACTTGTCAATTTACCTACCCCACACTACAAATCTGTTATGATTAATCACCACCATTGTCTCCCGTTTCACCGAAATACTTTGTAATCGATTTCAGCCTAGCACGTTTGTCACACAAATATGACCATTTATTTTGACACTCCATAACAACTAATCTGTTATTCTACGTTAAAAATGTATCCACCGCATAACTGGCCTTTATTGTAACGACCACAAATATATTTTATAATTGTAAGAACCTGAAGAGGAGAAATTATTGAAAAGAATATTCTTCGTTCCGACTGACTTTTATTCATAATATGGTAATATTTCACACTATAAAAATATTATAATAAAGGTTTTTGTATTTCCCAATGGATGAAAAGACAACAAAAAGTAGACTAATATTTGAAAGTCTGAGGTCATACTTTGAACACAGTTCATACAATTCAAATGAACTGTTGTCAAGATTTGACAGAATAGTGCATACAGTTTTGTTTTTATACACGTTGATGCCTGTTTCATGACTCATATAATTGGACAAAGTTTTAAAAACAAAAGATGTCCTTTTATTATATATAAAAACCTCTGTTATGTTAATTTTGATCAATTTCCTTAATGAAGTTCGGACCAGACTGACGACCGAAACGTTGGAATTACTCATTTCTATCTCACTGAGATTTTACAAATATAATTTTTTACATATATCAAAATAGGTTAAATTCATTGAACTAAGCCTTCTCCATAAAATAGACTTAGACCTGTTCTATTTGTTCAAAAATTACCTGTTATTACTTTGAATGTGCTTTGGAGATCCAATTTTAAGAAACAAAGTTAATTTCAAGTTAGAGTATTTGTAACCTGCTTCTTTTCTTAGTCAGTTTCCCCATCACTTATCTGTGAACGTGACCCCCTAAACATTTTAAATTACATCTATTCTAGTTTGACGTACTTTTACTCAGTTATCTTCTGTATAAATTTATTTATGACACGTACGAGTGTGTGTGTGTGTGTTTGCGATCAGAATGTCCGAAGTTTGTTGCACATTACACGTTCCAGATAAATTACGCCTTCTTATTGTCTTATCGAAATACTTAAATGGAACTAACTGCCTTATTATGGTAAATTATTCCCCGAAATCATTAGTCCACAACATTCTCCACTCATCATTAGATGCTGACCTTTATTGTATAATTCGACTTATTAAGCTGAAGATTCGTGGTCAGGCATAAACTCCATTTGACATACTGGCCTGTTACATTCCATCACCCTTGCACAATCCCTGACCAGCCAAGCAATCATTAACATCATATGATGGCTCTGAACACCATCTCCTGTCCCAAAGTATACCTTGTACTTTGTACGATCAATCTGTTGCTTTGATTTGTCTCTCATCTAAGCAGCTACAGGATTGAAACTCACGTTTACATACAGTGTATCTTGATTAGCCATTTATGTCAATGACAGCCAATTAAAGTACTAACTACTAACAAGTAAGTATAGTAGTATATATAGTTTTTAATTTTAAAAAAATCAACAGTCGTCATTCCATATATAGCAGAGACATCAGATGATATCAGAAGAGTACTCAATCAGCTCAACATTGGAGTTTTCTTCAAAACATCAGACACACTTCAAAGCAACCTTGTCCATATAAAAGACCAAATCCCGAAAGATTCTCTATCTAATTATGTCAATAAAATAAAATGCTTGGAATGTGATGCAATCTACATCGGACAAATATCTCGAGAAATCAAAATCAGAAGAAATGAACACCGTAGAGCATCTGTTCGACCACTGAGAAATCCGGTTGAACTAGAAAAACTTGAAAAATCATCAGTCATAGATGGTGGTCTACACGCAATAGAATCAGGCCACAAAGTTGATTTTGACAATATTGAAATAATCCAAAAACTCTTCAGAAATCACAAAGAACATCTAATATCATCGGAAGCACTTCATATCAAGCGGAATCCAAATTGGCTGAATAGGAATGATGGACTAAAACAGATTCTGACATGGCTACAACACCCCCCTCCCCATGAAGTAGCAAAATCAACACAAATGTGATAAGCAAGTTCACTATGAAAACACCCACAACTTTCACAATTCTACACACTCATAAAATCCAACAATTTACACTTAGTTTTGTTATCTTTACCAATTGACCAACTTGACAATCAAAAATGACCCCAGACTAACGAACGATGATCAAGTTAGTAAACTTTATTTTGATACCATAACAGATGTTCTCTTACTTTTGTTATTTGGGTTAGTGATCTTCATTGCTATTTTGACTTTCAATATGTCCCTTTAACTTGACCTAAGTCTATTTTCTCACCTCTTAACTCTTTGTTATATATATGCTGAGATTTTGTAAATTCCGGTTTAATAATACTACTTTGATAAAGCTATTAGCAGCATTAAATAGCGTAACGTCAGTAAAACCAGCAATATCGTTTTGTTTTTCATTCATTGGGAAATATAAGAAAACCTTTATTATAATGAATATCATATACCCAATGCCCGTTAAAAGTGAACTTGGTTTGGACATATATAAAAAAAATTAAAATTACAAACTTACAGACACATTGTTTTCCAGGATCTCTAGGATTTGCATCTCTCCACATTGAATTACAAAAGCATGAGATACCAGGTGGTACATCTCGACATGTAGCATGATCCCCGCAGGGTTTAGTGACTTGAGCACATGTAATTGTACCTGAAGTACCTGTTAAGAGAAGTGAAACAAAAAGTAACGATGAAGTAAATTAGCTGTTGCGGAATTACGGAATAATTAACATTTGTCTTAAACATAGTTTCGACCTCTTCAATAGTGGTGGCCATCTTCTACTCCCATATTGAATTAAATGACAAGTTTAAGACAAGTAACAGTAATTAACAATTAAAACAATTAATTCCAAACTAGGACGAAACAGCTGTCTAGTACTCCGAGGTTTTCCAGTGGTTCCCTAACTGATGTCAGCTCATGATGAAATCCTCCATCCTATTAGATTTGAATAAGTCTTTTAGAAGACAAATTTCTCGAGAAGATATCTTCACTTCGTAGTTACTTTACAACCAATTTACAACTAACATGGTTCACAATAATAATAAAATAAAATGAATGACAATTACTCAGGTATATAAAACAAAAGCACATACTAGTGACCAATCATATTTAATTAAATAGGTCAAGTAGTCAGTTCATGGTAGGCGAAGGTTGAAGTCTATTTCAATGACCACGAGAGATGATGGAATGATTCAGCGGTCTGTTTTTCGTAAACAGACATAAAGTGGACAATATCATCATTTCACCAGTTTTGTTCCGATCCTGTCTAGACGTTACCTAGTGAAATGTTTATTTCCAAGGGTCCGCAAAATATTCACAAGTGACTTACTGATGGATGATCTTCGACGTATACATTCAGTTTTATTAGCTAATGGTTATCTGGAAAACGTTATCACTTGTCACAGTAAAGAAAGACCACATCTCGAAAAGATAGCTTCTGTACCAAAGAAAGCTATCTTTATCAACCTACCATTCAAGGGTGACCTGATTATGCAGTTGACAGCTCAAAGACTTCAGTAAGCCCTCTAGTGCATATTCTACGCCGCACCTCTCTCCCTTACATGTCGAACACTTTCGATCCGTGTACCTACGACTAAAGGACAAAATTCTGTGGACTCTACTTCAAACTGTATCTACAAGTTCACCCGCAGTTGCGGTGACATACACATATATAGGTACAACCAATAGGATGTTCCAATGTGGTCGTCGAAAAGAACATGTTCCAAAATGGTTAATAAAACACACAGAAAATCCCAATGCAATTAATCTGAATAGAAATCCATCATCATCCATTGCAAATCACATATTAATGTTAGGTCACTAAATCAATATTAATGACTGCCTAAAAATTATTTCACATAACCTTTGTCTATCATGAACTGACTACTTCACCTATTTAATTAAATATAATTGGTCATTAGTATGTACTTCTGTTTTATATAACTGAGTAATTGTAATACATTTTATTATTATTGTGACCCATGTTAGCTGTAAAGCGATTGTAACGAAACAACGAAATGAAGCCATCATCTCGTGAAATTTGTCTTCTAAATGCCTTATTCAAAAAGTAATTAACAAAGCAGAATTTAGGGAATTCATAAAATTTCGGCGGAACTCTTCAAGTGATATGTATCCACATGATGTGTGTCTTGTTTTTGACAGTCTATTATATTTTGCTATGTGTATATGGATCGATATTACATTATAACTGACAATATGCTTTTGTCTGTTCACTAACTAAATAAACATGTATGACCTTGTTGTCACATGACATTACAACCAATCATGTTAAGACTGGCTATCTTATCGGTACATGTGTATTAACCATTTTCATATATACTTTTGTACTGTATACTTGTTCCCACGTTTCGTACACTACGTACCATTTCACTCACACTCTTGTGTGACATTTATTTTCCTTGTCTGGAAAATACAAGTATCATCGTAAACCTGGTGGTCTTCTGATTTCCCTCTTTCCGCGTCAGGAATATTAACTACTCGACGAGTACATAACATCAACTGAATACCTTACATACACTGATATGTATATGTTACGACCTAAACTGACTGGCTTTGGTCTGGGCGCAGCAGAGCTATCTCTGTCTTCTACTCTTTAGCTGAGAAAACTTCCTTGAGACACACATGATCACGGAATGTTCCAGAAAGAGGAAATAGTTGATTGTACTTCGATAAGTCTATGTTTTTCAACAGTGCCATTAGGTGGCTTTACAGCACAATCTAAGAATATAAAGAGTACTTAGAAACAGGTAGAAAATTCCTAACAAGGTGGCATCAGAAACTCTGTCCACAAGACACACATATCAATATTTCCAGCAGATGGTCCAAGGTTAGAATAAACTTAATTCGCGCAAACAAAGTCACACTGTACAACACACTACCAAAGTACACACAACCACAAAAAGGAACCAAAAAAATTGACCAGTAGGATACAGCAGGTTGAAGATGAGGCAGTAACTCATCGAAGAAGACATTGCGAAGTGGTCGCGCTATGTCATGAATTGGCAGAAGTTAGAATTCAAGGACCATTGGATCGGGTCCCAGTGGCTCAATGGTATACAAGCTCGCCTTGTAACCAGAAGGTCCTGGGTTCGAATTCCGGTTGGCGCGTACTGCTGAAGAGCCCCAAACTAGGACGAAACTGCTGTCCAGTACTCCTAGGTTTTCCAGTGGTTCTCTAACTGATGTCAGCTCATGATTAAATCCTCCATGCAAATTGGAGGTTAAACAGGGATGAGGACAAATGATAAGGATCAAATCAACATGTGACGTAGAAATGTTAGGAGGGGCAGAAAATGTATTGATAAAATCTTATTCACTCCATCCTAATCGTAATTTCACAATTGAACATGAAGATAATGCCACCCTTCGATTCCTAGATAATTCTCTGATGAAAAAAATTGACGACACCATATAATTGGGGGGTTTTAGGATCGGAAAATCAAGATAAAGCTTCATTATTCTGAAATCATTGTTGAAATCTGCTGTAATAAGCACAAGAAACAAGATTGAAATTATCGACATTAACGTCAAATCAGTTAGTCATTGTATATGGTTGAGAGGTTTGGCAAGCGTCTAAAGAAAAGCATTTTTTGATTATAGCTTGATTCCACACCGTATTTTGCTGCAACTATGGAGTCTTCAGTATGTGACATCGGTAGCCTAAATTTAGCAGGCCGACCATTGATATCAGGTGTGCGTCAGCCGGGGATCGAACCCCGGACCATGTGCATGGTCGGCGATCGTCCTAACCACTGTGCCACTGACTCACAATTGGCCCTAAGAAAAGGCCGATTTCACGTTCTCTGGCTCCCAAGCCACACACCGGTGAACTTAAGCCTTCACCTTGTTGGTCTTCTTGGGCAGCAACACAGTCTGGATGTTAGGCAGGTCTTCACCCTGAGCTTTAGTAACACCACCAAGCAGTTTGTTCAACTAACTCCTCATCGTTTCGGATGGCCAATTGCAAGTGACGAGGGATAATACGGATCTTCTTGTTGTCATGGGTGGCATTATCAGCCAATTCAAGAACTTCAGCGGCCAGGTATTCGAGGACGGGCACTCTAGCACCAAAGCGTTTAGAGTAGTTACCACTGCGCAACAGACGATGTACACCACCAACCTATAACTGAAGACTAGCATGAACAGATCTAGTCTTTGCCTTTACGCGAAACTTTCCACCTTTGCTGAGACTACTCATGATTGTTCCTTGGAGCTACTGAACATATTTAGTAACAAGTGCCTTATGTCTATAATGGATACCAGATGACCGGCTAGAAAGTTTACGCAGAATGAAACACTGGTAAGGAACTCACCATCCAAGAAAATACTGTACAACTAGAAAACATGCTGAAGAAAATAAAAATGGATTGGAGATACGCTGAGTGACATCGTGACTTAGGCTAACTTTCGAATGGGACCAGAATAGGAGACAACGAAGTAGTTAGTTGTCATTTTGAGTGTAGTATGGAGAAGCTAGTGTGACGAAGAAATGAAGGCTTACCAGCAATCATATAGCCAGCTACAATGAGCTATAGAAAACAGAGTGAAACGGCAATATACTTCTGAATACCCGTGTTACACTCGGAACTCCAGGAAGTGATGATAATAATAATAAAACTATTTCTACATTCTATCCTATAGCCTACACTATTAGTGACCATATTGAATAGTGGGCTGGTAGTATTCAGTTGTTATGATGGATTAGGAGACACAGTAACAGTTACTTGCCAGCTCCCCGCCCTCACCCCTTCAGGAACCAGTTAATGTATCCATTAGGTCTTATATGAGGCATTTTGAGGGTCGAATAGCTAAGTGATAGTGTTTCTAACTGCAACCCTTAACGATATGGGTCTGAATCTCATAGGGGACTTTGCGTCCTTGGAAGTCGCAGATGTATATATATATATATATCACTTTGATGTGGTTGTGTTCTCTGAGCTGGATAGTTAATTTGCGAAGCTTTCATCGCCCTGCTAGGCAACATCTTCAGCGCATACTTCAATTTGAACTGAAGTGAACTTTCCGATTTCTCCACGAGTTTATTAATCATCTCTCCTGGTGGGTGACGTTGGACGTGATTGGTTGTTTTTGTGTGTTTTCATACCTTCTAGGTTACTTGTGGTATTGGAAGTGATTGTTTCTTTGACTTGAACTTTGACCCTTTGTGTGTCAGGTTTCTTTTTTGTCTATCTCAAGATAGACAAAATTTATCAACCGATAAGAAAGAAGCCTCACACACAAAGGGTCAAATTTCAAGTAAATAAGAAAAACAATCAGTTCCAATGAAAGTAACCAAGAAGGTGTGAAAACACACAAAAACAACCATTCACGTTCAAGGTGTCACCAAGAGAGATGATTGATAAACTCGTGGAGAAATCGGAAAGCTCACTTCAATTGAAATTGAAGTATGCGCTGAAGATGTGAGTGAGTAAGTGAGCAGTTTGTATCACAATCTTATTTCGAGCTTCACTTTTCAAGATAATCAAATATACAGGCAATTAACTGGTCACCAAATAATTATCGTATTCATGGAGTAAAATGGCAGCTTCATTGTGTATATATATATATATATATATATATATATATATATATATTGCATGGAGGATTTAATCATGAGCTGACATCAGGTAGAGAACCACTGGAAAACCTGGGAGTACTGGACAGCCGTTTCGTCCTAGTTTGGGACTCCTCATCAGTACGCACCCACCGGGATTCGAACCCAGGACCTTCTGGTTACAAGGCGAGCTCGTAGACCATTGAGCCACTGGGACCCGATCCAATGGTCCTTGAATTCTAACTTCTGCCAATTCATGACATAGCGCGACCGCTTCGCAATGTCTTCTTCGATGAGTTACTGCCTCATCTTCGACCTGCTGTACCCTACTGGTCACGGCTTCCCACTAGAACCCCAGGTTAACTGCCTGAATAGGGCCAGTCACTAGTGAGCATCAGATGAATTTTCAAGTATTGGTTTTGTAGGGATTTTGTTTTATTGCATGGAGGATTTAATCATGAGCTGACATCAGTTAGAGAACCACTGGAAAACCTGGGAGTATATATATATATATATGTATATATATCATATTCCTTTTTTTCGGACTCTTCAGCTGTACGACCACCCCCCCCACCCCCATCAAGGTTGAAGCTCCAGGTGGTTGTGTACTTACAAAGACCATTAAACTCGCACAAAACAGCTTTCCACTACGCCTGTTATCATGATTTTCCAGTAGAGTCCTATAACACACAATAATGTCAGCTGTTATAATCGAACCTGTAGCCAATCAGATCCCTTCAAATTCTTTTTTTAAACCAATCAAATTCCTTCTTTTTAAACCAATCAAATCCTTGCAAAAACTTCGATACTTACGTTGAGCTTGTAAACCATCCAGTCTAATTGATGATGGACTTGTTGTACGATTATATCCTTGAACTAACAATGAATATAATTGACTACTAGTAAGTTGTGATCCAGCTGTTGTTGGTACATTGATTACAGCATCACCTTGAACAGCACGAACAACACTCCCATCCGGTTGTATAACACTAACTGGTGTAAAACTGACACTTGGACAAGTTGAACCGTCTGTTTCACCACTGGATGCTTGTTGTAAATAATGTGTTATCTAATTTTTTTAATTATTATTTGACAGGGTAAGGAAAAAAAGAAGAAAAAGAAACAATAAATAAAATAAAAGAGTTAAAATAAACTATTGAAACATTGGATAATTTTAATATAATTATTAAGATTCAAGTGTTGGTTTGTACGGATTTGATTGGTTACATAATTTTCATCATGAGCTGACATTAGCTAGAGAACCATTGGAAAACCCGCAGAAAGTACTGGACAGCTGTTTCGTCCTATTTTGAGACTCTTCAGTAGTACGCAATCACCAGGATTCGAACCTAGGACCTTCTGGCGAGCTTGTATACCATTAAGCCACCGGGATCCAGTCCAATGGCCCACGAATTCTAACTTCTACCAATTCACGACATAGCACGACTCCAGCCAATGTCTTCGGCGAGTATTTCTCCTCACAATTAGTTCCCTTTATGAGTTTAGACAAAGTAATAGGGAGATGTAGATTGAGTATGCGAAAAATGATTTCGCAACATCTCACTCTATTTACCAATATGAATATACATGTGGACATACATACAAACATACATACATACATACATACATACATACATACTACGCACATACACACATACATACATACATAGGGAGGACTCATCGATCTCTGCAAGTAAGGGCTGGCTTCAAAGCGTATTCCTAAATGGCTTCAGAAGTAAACAGAATACCCTGAATCCATTAATGGTGAGAACAGGAGACCTAGCTCCTCTATTGTGAATCATATTGTAGAGGCAGGATATAAAACTGATGTTTCCACATGTCTTTTAAACCTATCTATAAAACTGGTTAGAGGGAGGGCGTATCCTAAAGTTTTGGAAGCCGTAGCTATTAAGAAGTTTAAATCACCTTTATTCGTTCAAAGCAACAATTCGTCATCACACTAACTAAACCTTCCTTGGTGAACTTTATTTTGATACTAGCCAGGGTAGATGTAGTATGTATTACCTCTCTTATTTGGTTTAGTGATCATCACTGTTATTTTCACCTTCACTTTGTCCTTTTAACTTGACCTAATTTAAATTCCTCACCTCTTAACTCTTTATTAATTTCATACCTATTCATATTAGAAGTCCGTGTGTGATGGATCAGATCGTTCGAAATGTGTTCCACAAGTACACACTACACGATTCAGACAAATTACGTCTTCATATTGTGATCCATGTTAGTTTGTTTATTAGATGTATCACACAGTGAGTGTAACAGTATTATTTACTGGATGATAAGGATTTGAACACAATCTATTTTTGTTTATAATCATATCATCAGTTATAATCACATGACTTCGAAACTTGAGTTTTATGGTTTTATTTCTTCTCTCCTTTTTGTCTTCGTTGGGGTAGTAGTAGGCGGCCTGCTTAAACCATTGGGCTACCGAAATTACTTTCCTCCAAAATGCTTAATTTCATCTGGATTTATCATTGTTTTAATCGTCCAGTTATATCAAATGACCTATACATAAACTTGTGCGATGATTTAACTTGCTCCCAAGTAAACACTGTATAATTCCTCAACGAAATGAAGATATACTTCAGTTTATTACTTTACATGTTAATTCTGTGTGAAGATTAAAGTACTTTGTAACTGAACACGCTGAAAATTTTTGTATCGTATCTTAAATAAAGCTTTACCATTATTAAAATTTTTTTCCAGATATCCGACTGGACAGATGTTGAATCATTCCTATTACATGTATTTGCAGTTGATTCGATAAACAAAGCTTCTGTTATCAATCTCTCCCTATACCCTGTGACATTACATTTTAAAACTGTCATCCTATCCCATCTTATTGTATGGTTGTATGTAACTGCATGTAGTGAGTGGCATAGCTGAATTATTCTCTAGATTTCTTATCTTATTTGGGTCAACCAATCTAGATTTTGCTAGGCTTTTATGTTCGGCTAGCCTGGCTGCCCCTGTTCTACTACTTTGACCTATGTATTTGACCTCACAATCATTGCAGGCAGGGTATTAGATAAACTAAATTGTTTTGTTTTAAAGGTTCCACAGGATCCTCCATTTAACTGACAAAGCTTGTTTCTAATTGAGTTTGTGGGTGTGAATGCCAGCCACTTTTATTCCTGCCTTGTTAAGAATTCTGCGTAAGGCTTCCTAGGTTCCTTCCTTGTATGGAATTACTACTGATGACTTAGATTCCTTATTGTTGGTGTCGCCATTAATATTATTATTATCACTATTATTATTACCATTATTATTATTATTATCATTATTATTATTATTATTATTATTATCACTATCGCTACTATCATTATTTATTTTATTTTTACATTTCCCTACACACTTTCTGACTAATTTATCAGGGTGATTATTAAGTCTCAAGGCTTCTTTTATGTGTATCACTTCTTGTCTTAAATTTTCCTTGGTACTACTTAGTTTTTGTGCTCTGTCATTTAAACATTTCACCAATCCTATTTTTACTGACATAGGGTGGGAAGATCAGAAGTCCAAATATCTGTTTGAATGTGTCAGTGGGTTTCCTGTAAACACTAGTGTTTAACTTCCCATCTTCTTTCCTCTTTACTCTACAATCTAACATTGGAAGCTCCCCTTCCTGACTTTCCAATTCACAAGTGAATTGAATTGCCTTTACCTTCGAATTAATGTTTTTGAAAAATCGATCTGTATCCTGTGTTCTGATTACAGTGAATGTGTCATCTACATATCTCCGTCATACTTTGAGGTGGGGGGTGAACGTTTCAGTCGCTATGTTTTCCCACCTATCCATGAATATATCTGCGACAACCGGGGATATTGGTGATCCAATGGTGTTCCACATGAGATCACCTCGTTCAAACAGATCACAAAGCTAGCGTTGAAGAGTCTTCCTCTATCATCTGTTGAGTATTGAGTAAATTATCAAAGGCCTGTAGATACTAAATACTCCAAAATGCAGAGACCATTACAATTCGACTAAAACAATCAGAATATGAGAATAGAACTTGTACACTGTGATAGAGTATAATTCCGTTATGGGTAAAATTTATTTTAATAAAGTCTCACAACGTTTTACAGTAACACTACTTACTGATGACCACGTTTCAAGCACAATTTATTACTTCTAATCGCATCATGGCACTAATCATACAACGTTCATACCTCGTTTGTATGTGTCCACTATTTCCTATCTCTTGATTTTATTGGTAGTAATATTTTCCACATCTCTGGTATTGGTGATGAGTCATTCCTTATTGCATGTGTTTGGTATAAATTCGATGAGAAAAGACTCAGTAATCAACCTCTTTTTCTCCACCTATCTATATTACTTATTAGAATTTTAACCCTCTCCCAATCTATTATGCGTTTGTGTGTTAAGGAATGCAGTGCGATTGCTGAACTCTCTTCTAAATTACTTATCTTCACCGGGTCAATCATTCTAACCTTAGCTGAATTGTTATGTTCTGATAATCTGACTACCCCCGGTCTATTCGTTTGACTGACCCATACAGTTGACCTTACTCACAGTCATTACAAGGTATTTTGTAAATTATATTATATTGTTTAATAGCGTCAACCTACAGGATCCTTTAACCACCTACAGAGTTTGTCATACCTGAGTGAGTTTGTTGGTTTAAATACCACCCCAATGTCTGCTTTATTAAGAATCCTACTTAGCGTCTTCGATGTTCCCTCACTGTATAGTAGAAGTGTAAATGCCTTATATTCTTTCATATTTATGTTATCAGTATTAGTCTCACTATTATTTGTATTTTGCTTCTAATCTTTTTTAATCTTTCTAATGAATTTTATACGATAGTTATTTATTTCATCATTTAGGTTTATTGTTTTACTAATTGGTGCTATTGTTGAGTTTGTTAGACACTTAACTAAGCCACCCTTCATAGGTAGGTAACGGATGAGATGAATTAAAGTCTAAATATCCAATATTAGAATGTGTTGGTTTCTTTTTTTATAAACGCCGCTAGAGAGAGTTAATCTAATCTACACTCAACACGTGCAATAAGAATGATTCATCACTCATACCCCAGAATTATGGAAAATATTACTACCAATCAAATCAAGAGATGAGAAATAGTGAAATCATATAAACGAAGCTGGGAAGTTGTGTGAATAGGGCTTTGATATGATAACTGTGAGCATCTCAATAAATTGTGCTCAAAACGTGGTCATCAGTAAGTAGTGAGACTTTATCAGATTAAAGTTTCCTACACAATGGAATTACATCTTGTCAAGATCAAAGCTATAATTTGATATTTAACATTTAAAGCAATTAGTTTCCCTTATGAATTTTGACAACACAATAAGAAGATGTAGTTTATCTGAAACGTGTTATATTTACGTGCGACACATTTCAGACAACAACATTCTGATCATACACGTACTGGTCATACACAATTATAGAAAAGGCAAGAAAGCATGAATTATTACAATACAGAGATATGTGGATGACATAACAGGCATTTGTGATAAACCGACTGACGCCATTAGAAATCATAAACCAGATCAATAGAGTACAAAACAGCATACCGCTAACATACGTTCCAGATGTACTCTTAACCCTCCAAGAAAATAGGTTAGTAAAACAACCTGTCTACAGAAAGTCCATGTAGGAGGGACAGTATCTCAATTATTATAGTTTCGGTCCACTACAGTATAAAAACGCATTCGCCGGATATGTACTGCCGTTACACAACACCTCACTGAAATATTGTTAGATTCTAGGCGTTACGGAGGTGTCAACCAAAGAGCTCTACCGATCCAGTCAACTCCCAAAATGGAAGTTTATGTATCTGTGCCGTTCAGGGGTGATCAACAAAGTCTGGTCACTAAAGAAAGACTCAAAGCCACAATTAACAACACAACTACTTACTATGCAGTCATAATTGTCTTCGTGGAGAAAACGAGAACTGCACTGTCCTGTAACCCCCCACATCTTCCGAATGATAATGTCACATCCAACTGTGTTTATCAATTTACATATATGTGTGGATACCCATCGGTCTAAACAAGTTAGGCCTACAGAACATATTCCAAAATGACTACGACAACGAATAAAATGACCGAATACAACCCATCCTCGAAATAGATGTCCAATATCATCTATAGCGAAACATATCATAGAGATGGGTCATAGGGCTGATTTCAGTAAAGCATTTAAACCCGTTTATGAAACAAGATTGGGTTAGATAATTAAATTCTTTGAAGCCTTGACCATAAAAAAAGGCTTAAACCTGTCTTAGGTGTCCAAAAGTTATTTGTTATTACGTTAAACCTGCCTAAGTAATCCAATTTACAACCAAGGGTCAATTCGCTTCATAATATTTTCAACCCTTTCCTTGTTTTTGGCTTTTTCTTTCTTACCCACACCTTTGTGTCATCTCCCTACCGATTATTTGTGACACAAACTGACCTGTCGTGTAAAGATTCATGCCTTCTTGTCTTCTGCATAGCTGTGTATGACAAGTACCCGGGTGTGTGATCAGAATGTTGTCCGAAATGTGTTGCACATATACACTACATTACACGTTTCAGATAAACTACGTCTTCTTATTGTGTGTTGTCAAGATTTACCACTGAAATCAATTTTATAGAATAAAGTAAATAAGTAGAGGAATACACTTCATGGAAGAAGAGAACATATAACACATTGTTATGTAGTCACATAATGTCTACTTTGTTTTCGACAGTCTGTTATATTTTACTATGTGTATATTGATCGATATACCATTATAATTCACAATATGCTCTGTCTGTCCATTAACTAAATAAACAATGAATGACCTTTTTTGTCACATGACATTACAACCAATCAGAATCCAATCATGGTAAGATGTCTATCTTATTGGATCATGTATATTAGTCATTTTCGTATATATTTTTGCATTGTACACTTTTATACACACACTTGTTCCCACGTTTCGTACACTACGTGCCCTTTCACTCACACACTTGTTTGACAGTCAGTTTCCCTTGTTGGAAAATACACATATCATAGTGAACCTGGTGGCCATCTGAGTTTCCTCTTTTCGCGTCAGAACAATTAACTACTCGACGAGTACACAACATAATTGGCGACGGGGAGAACTATGGATTCTCCGAAATTGGAATTACTACTTGAGCAACAAATGAAATTAATGGAAATGCTCATCAACCAACAGAATGGTCCAGCTTCACCTTCAAGCACTCCGAATCATACCATGTCACCATCTATCGACGGAATTGTGAATAGTATTACACAATTGAATTATGATCCAGATGCTAATGTCACTTTCGACACATGGTATCAACGCTATGGGGATTTATTCACAGTTGATCTCGCCTCGCAAGACGATGCCTGGAAGGTGCGAGTGTTATTACGGAAACTGGGTCTTGCAGAATATGAAAGGTACTGCAACCTAATTTTACCCAAGAAACCACGTGACAAGTGTTTCGATGATACAGTAAAGCTGCTGAGTGAACATTTTGGTGACCACTCCTCATTATTCAGCATACGTTATCGTTGATAATGAATGAAAATGGTGATTTTCTTACTCATGTTGGCACAGTCAACCGAGAATGTGAAAGATTTCCACTCAGGTCCTTAACACACATAATGACAAATAAAAACAAAAAAATTATTACAAGAAAAGACTTAATTTCAACTTACTAAATCACAATATTTTGTTTTTAAATCATTATATGGTTGTGAATTGACATTTGAATAATCATCTATCCATGTTATCGGTGTATTATTGCCTTGATTGTATATCCTTGATTTTACGTCAAACGATGTTGAAACTAATGGAAGTGAAGAAAATAACAAATTAGGAAATTTGCTGATCAGGCCATTATTCTAGGGGGTTGAGAAAAAAAATTTGTTAGAAAAAAATGTATTGGATAGTGTAAGGTAATCGGTCACAGGAAGACTTGGATACCACCTAGGTATCGTGCTAGTGGGCACTCACCAGTCAGTCAGCAAGGCGTATCTGTAATCACCTTGAAAGAACTCATGTCCCTTCTGAGAGGATTCGAACCCGCATCACCCAATGAGTACTTCAGTCAGAGACGTTACCACTGATCTCGCGATTGACCTCCTGTAGGACTCTAGTGGGTACTTTGATTGGACACCAGTAACTAGTGAGACGTGTCTAGTCCTTTCTATGGTGCAGACTGAATTCTATTAGTCACGTTTGCAAATTACCCACTACAGTCCTACAGGAGGTCATTCGCGACCTCAGTGGTAACGTCTCTGACTGAAGTACACACTAGGTGACGCCGGTTCGAACCCCCTCAGAAGGGACATGAGTTCTTTCAAGGTGGTTGCAGATACGACTTGCTGACTGACTGGTGAGTGCCAATTAGCACGATACATAGATGATGTCCAAGGCTTCCTGCGACCAATTGCCTCCAACTATCCAATATCATCAAATCAATGTGCACCGTAATGGTGAGCTACCTGGAATGGTGGCCATATTGCAAACCTGACTGATAGAATTCAGTCTGCACCAAAGAAAGGACTAGACATGTCGCGCTAGTTACTAGTGTCCAATCAGAAAGAAATGTATGTTTACTAAACCATGGATAAGTGTGTCGCGCTATTGACCGACTACTGACTGTTTCATTGATTAAAGTGAGGGGTATTGCTTACTAGTCAGTCATCTAGAGATGATCTAAACTCTGGGGAGGCTATTTCGATCATTCGAGGCCGAGGTCATCATCGCTGGCGGTCTACCAGCGTTTGACTCAGCTAAAACAGTTGAAGAATCAGTTTTGACCATCTGAATCGTGAATTTCACTTATGGTTTTACTAGTTCACCAACGTAGTTAGCCAGGAATCCAATGGCTTAAAATGATTCACCTCCTTGAGCTAAGTCGAACCATGTGGACCGTTGATGGTCAGCTGAGCCATGAAAGAACGAAACCACTGTCTCGTGTTTAGATCATTCCAAACTGCTTGGTTAGCAAACATTTCTGTTTGATGTGAGTGTCATCTAACTACTCATTTCAATCACTTAGTAGTAGTATGTAGCGTGATGCGTTTACGCCTACCTTCTTGATTACCATAGATCCTATCGAGCAGATTACATACATTGTGATCTGAAAAATTTCGATTTCCAATGGGAACTAATGGTAAAATAACCAACCCACTTAAAATGTGAAAATTGTAAATTATTTGAGATTTTGACAAATAATTCGCAAATTGGTAATCGGACAATTGATACCCTCAAAAATGTATTGATAAACACCAAGCGAAAGCAAAATATAAAAATGCAACGTTTGACACAGATGATATGAAACCAGTATTACAACATTCTTGGATTTAAAAGTGATAACGTATTTGAAAGAATTAAATATGCAATAAGTGTTGCTTTCAAATGAACTTATCCAAGTATCAGCTTAGTCACAACTCACTGAATCAAATGTGGGCTAGGAAAACAATCTAAAATTGACAATTTCATCTTTCATGTTACCTTCACATGAGTATTACCAATTTATATGTATGTGATGAGAACCTTGATCTTGAAAACTTACTTCAAACCTTCAACAATGCCCACTAAAACATCCATTTTACTCTAGAAGCTGAATCCGACGGAATGTTCCACGTCCTCGATGTCCATCTCACAAGAAACGTTGACAACTCTCTGAAATGGTTCATATATAAAAAGCCTACATGGAATGGATAGTTCATTAGTTTTCAAAGCTTCTTGCCCCTAAGCAGAAAAAGGACCCTCATATATGCTCTTTCCTCGAGGATTCGGAAGATATGCAGCGTGGAAGTGATTCATAAGGAGCTGCGTAATCTCCGGGGTACCTTGATGGAAAACGGTTTTCCGCCTAGGTTCATAGACAACAATCTAAAATCAAAGAAGACTTCCAAACCCATTCAATCCGTCCCAAAGAAGATACTTCTGCTTAATCTAGAATCCAAAGGTGACACTGGAGCAGAAATCCTTCGTAAACGCCCCTGCAAACCTCTGAGGAGAACAAACTTCACCGCAAGACTACAACTGACATTATACTGCAAGAAACTGTTCAGCCATAACGCCAAAGATAAGCTGTCGCATTGGGCCACTTCAACGTGGATATACCAGTTTACTTGCTCATGCGGAACTGAGTACATCGGCCGTACCTTGCGCCAACTTGGAAAACGTGCTCCTGAACACTATCTAGTCTGACGAAAACGTGCATATAGTTCAGTGACAGAACATCTGGTCAATTAAGAAGATTCAACGTCATTCGATGAATCCTTCAAAATAATATACAAGATTCGATCAAACCTGTGTTAATTTTATTTTAAGTATGACCACGGATTGATATCAGTTAGAAAAACACTGGAAAACCAGCTGGCAGTACTGAACAGCTGTTTCGTCAGCCTAGTTTGGGGCTATTCAGTAGTACGCACCCACCACTGGGTGCCTTCAGGTTACAAGGCAAGTTCGTAGACAATTAAGTTCCTGAGACCCGAACCAGTGGCCAGTCCATGAATTCCAACATCTACCAATTCATGATATAGCGTGACCACTAGCCACTGGTCCTATTCAAGTGGGTAGTTACATGGATTCCGTTGAGAAGTCGTGACCAGTGGAGTACAGTTGGTCAGGTGTGAGGAAAAACACTCGCTAGTGGTAGCGCCATAAGATCAATCGACAGATGTTGGAATTCATATAATGGCCACTGGATCGAGTCCCAGTGGCTGAATGGTCTACGAGCTTGCTTTGTAAGAGAAAGGTTTTGGGTTCAAAACCTAGTGGGTATGTACTGCCGATAAGTCCCAAAATAGGCTGACAAAACAACTGTCCAGTACTCCCTGCAAGTTTTCCAATGGTCCTTTAACTGATGTCAGTTCATGATGAAATCCGGAAATACAATAACAAAGACGTTGTCCAATCATATAAGTCATGAAACAGGTATCAACATGTATAATAAACAAAATTTTATTATCTTTGATGAAAATCTGACCTTAAACTTACAAATATTAGTCTGCCTTTGTTAAACAGTGTGTACATTTTCATCAGAATTTTAGTGATTATGTTTTACTAAAAGCTCATGGTTACAGATAACTGAATATGAAGAAATACATATGTATATGACGAAAATATATGTATTACGGCAAAGAAATATTGGATGAGAGAAATAGAATCCTTAAAAATTATGTCGTACGAGTGCATTTTCGTGCAATGGACACCTTACTATCATCACTAGTGAAGATTAAGGATAAAATAGGAGAATACAACCAACAGAATCGTGTCTACCAGATCAACTGTGAGGATTCTGACTCTGTATATGTAGGAGAAACTTCCAGATAAGTAAATATAAGAGTAAAGGAGTATAAATAATGTTTAAAGGTGGTTGCAAAGACCTCTTTAGACTTAAAGAAGCTAGAAAATAGACCGACGATTGTACTTCACCCAACAGAAACGGGACACAAGGTTGACTTTGATAGGAGTAAGGTTCTACAGAAAGGTTTTCGTTCGTATAACGGAAGTCTGATCTCAGAAGCCCTACGTATATATGAATGAATCCCAACAGCTTGAACAGACATGAAGGTTTGATGTTAGCTGATGCATAACAAATCCTGAATAGCAAATAAAAAGTGAATATTTTAATTGAATTTGAGATTTTCCCGTCGATTGATTGAACCGAAGTGCTCGGTCTCAGGTTGACATGTCGGCTTCTTGTGCATATGCTTCGACGATATCTGGGCATTTAGTTAGTATTTAATTGGTGGATGGTGGCTAGCAGTGGAATCCAGAATTCGCATTTCCTCCTATTTGGGGCTCGTCAGCTCAAATTCAATAAAATTAATATGACCCGTTGCACAAGAGGTGGCTCTAGTGGCCCAAGTGGTCTAGTGGATAACGCTTTGGCGTTTGAAACTATGGGCACTGGGTTCGAGCCTTTGTGGTGGGAACATCATCATTCACTGAGAAATGCAGGTACATCCGGATGACGAGTCCCCGAATAGGACGAAATGTGCATCCTGGATTCCACTGCTAGTCACCATCCACCAATGAATATGTACTACTAATCAATCATAAATGACCTAAATTCGCGATTGTTTATATCTTCTAATGGAAGGGTGAACAATTGTTTCCCCATACACAACAAGCACACACACACACACACACCATTGTATACTGCATATCCATATGAAGTGTATCTTCGTTTTCAGTTATCTACGACCATGAACTCTAGACGAACATAATCACTAAAATTCTGATGAAAAAGTACAAACTGTTTACAGTGTTTAACAAAAGTAGACTAATATTTGTAAGTCTGAGATCAAATTTTGATTACAGTTCATGCAGTTTTGTTAAGTATATTTTGATGCCTGTTTCATGACTCATATGATTGGGCAAAGTGCTTTAAAAACAAGTGATGTCCTTTTTACATATAAACCTTTGTTATTTTAATTTTGATTAATTTCTCTGAAGAAGTTCGAACCAGTTTGCAGAACGAAACATTGGAATACCTCTTTTCAGTTTCGCTGAGATTTCACAAATATGATTTTAACATGTAGAAAACAGAAAGACTGAGCGAAGAAATACTTACTTTTCAATTAGATCTTTATCTCTGGCTCTACTCTAATATATCCTCCTTGTTCACCAATGTACTGTTAATGGAGACAGTGGATTTTATATGTGAGGAGATTATTACACGAAACATAGACATAGGGATTTCTGTATCCACGTTGAAGGAACTTATTTTAAGATGTACAATGAATGTTCATTTCTTATTCAATAAGGAATATTACGGACAAATTGATGGTGTAGCTATGGGTTCCCCATTAGGTTCAA